GACAAACTTGTAAGCCTGCTGTATTTGGTATTTAACAGTCCATTGTGGCAGAAACTGGCCAAGGAGTAGATTTAGTTGACCTCATAATTTAATTATTTCTGTATAGATGTTTGAAAATCCCATCAGCACAGCCGGCAACCGAAGCCTTACCCAGTTTCTCGGAAAACCAACAAAAGTCAAAATTGATAAAAAGCAACAAAGCACTACCTAATTAACCTGAAAATTATTGTTCAATAACATTGTAATAAAAGGTGTACGGGTGAATAGTATAGTTTTGGGTCTAGATTCGAACCATCCAATAGAAAGAAGGTAGTTGTGGATATATGACCAGCAAAACCCGACGAATCCAAATCACGATAACTTCTATTTGTCTGTTTTAATCACCACTTCTCCGACGGTCTTGGAGATAGATAATGTTGTTGTTATACCTAAGCTACCACTCTTGGGTTGCAAAAGTAAGGACACAGTACGGATTATATATACTTATAGTAAGTATATATAGGTTTATAATTCACAACCCCTTACCATGTCTTCTGCCTGTTAAATACTTGGCACAAACCTTAAATACCCTTTTTACCCTACGGGTACATGACATACAAATAATACATAGTATTTGTTAGCTATGTCCTAAATAAAATGTTAATTTTTGAGCGGTAAAGGATTCGCCTTTTTATGACTCAGTGCCTTTTTACCTATTATCTAGTCATATATTTTACATCCACAATTATCCGGGATTGTAATGATTTACATTTATTTCCGAGAACTAATATCGTAGAATCAATGTGCAATTTTTTGTTCGCCTTTCTTTGGCATTCGTAAAGAAACGAAAATATTTGCGGGATTGCTTAATAACTCCAATAAAGTAATAAACAGAAAGACTTTTTGATTGCTTCAATAACTTCGCTGTGAAGTCTGCCGAATTTTATATAAATCATTTGTGTCTATTAAAGTCGGTCAAGGCAGGTACACGAAAGGGGGACTATAAGTATCTCCGCTAGAGCTCATACAACAAACATTGAATGCAACAGCATTGTCAATCAATCATTTTCACCGAAACATCACCAACGGGTTTGCCCTATGGATTTCATTTTGGGCATATCCCATAAAGTTGCACTCTCTCGCCCCCCGCCCTCTCTCTCTCTCTCTCTCTCTCTCGCACACACACACGCACACACTGTCTTTTTGTCCCGCACGTGCAATTAAATAAACGAAAGTTTTCATTAATTTTATTGCAATCGAGGAGAGAAGCAAGATGTCTTGATGGCAAAGACGATCTTAAAGCAATTCATTAGCGACGCTTTGAAGACATTTAAGACGTTGTCAAACACTTGCGGCTCTGCTGCTGCGCTGCCGCGCTGCCACGCTGCTGTTGTGCTGATGTTGCTCTGCTGCGGCTCTGGCGCTGCATTGGGGCGTGCTGCTCATAACGACTGATGGATGTGACATGCTTTGATGTATTTCACTTTTTAGACATGGCCAATTCAAGTTTAGGCCTGCAGACTGCACTCCGAAATCTGTGGTCTGTTGCGTCTGGCCAAGAAGTTGTTAAGTGCCAACTCACACCGGCGAGTGTTCCCAAGTAAGCGAGCAGCCTCTGTTTGCTTTTGTTGTTGTTGCTTTTTATAGGCTATTTTCTAGTTTTCGAAATTTTCACATTACTATAAAGCAACGCAGTTGAAGGAGAAGAAAAAACATATGCCGCCGCATTTACAAGAGGAGAAAATAGAAAAATCGTTTCGCAAATGAAACTGTGAAAACAACGTGAAAAACGCGCGGCAAACAAAGTAATCGAGCCAACGTTGGCGTTAGTTTTTCATCATACCCTTGGAAAAATGTTACAAATAGGGCTGAATTAGCTTCTACACAATGTTTGAGACGAATTCAGTAGGTAAGAGCGATTTGTTTAACTCCACACCAATTTATTTCCGACAGTACTGGAAAGAAATACATTATTTAAAGATCACTGTTACTCGGGCAATGTTTATATTGTCTCATGCATTTATTTATATACCATATTTACTGACGGTGTCATACCTTAGACATCTAATAAATCTTATTCCCCGCAAATATAAATTAGAACTACCATTCGTAATAGAATGCAATTAAAAGAATGTAATACTTATTTTTTCGAATTGCAGAGGAATTTTTCGAAACAATAATTACGCGCACATTTCAGATTTCTTAAACAAATATATTTAATGTTTCTTAATTTGTATATATTCATTTCACGACTTGATATGCTTTGATCAATTTTGAGGTGTTCATATGTTACGAAATCGATTTTACATATAACTTCAGCAAGTTCTGCACCGTGTATTTAATATATGTTGATATATTGATACTATGTAGAGTATATAGCATTCGACGTGTGAAAGAGCTCCGCATTTTTTCTCGCTTCTCGCTTCTTATGTTTGATTTCCACATGCACATTTCATTTGTTGTCATCCGTCATAAGTTGCGTTCGCTTGCGATTTGTTTTTATGGCCAGACTGCGGCCCTAAAAGGGAAAGTGCAAATGCATTGCCATTCTCTTAATAGGCCCTCATTCGCTTACTTGTGCGTCCTTAAGAGCAGGCCCAACCCAGGTTGTATGCCCACATCTTCACTTTTCCACATTTCACTTTCGTTTTCGATTCACTTCACCCGAGGATCCATTCATTTCATTCATTTATTGTGTGCGAGGTCGAGTTCGACTTGCTGAAAAATTAATAGCTTTATGTCCCACAGATATGTGCCTGTCAAAGGTGCGTGGGCGGCCTACTTTTTTTTTACACGTACGCCCGCATAACTAAGCGACTCGCTAAAACGTGTGCCTCATTTTTTCAAATTAAACCAAGTAAATTATTACTTTAATCGATGTTGAGGGAATATGCATAAATAATAAAGATGGTGTATGAAACTCGCATAACTTAATCATTTTCAATTCAGGAACATCAATTAACACAAAAGTTTTGACCGATTTATATATATTCTTTTATAATCTATACAGAGAATACCATTCAAATATCAAAGACACATTTTAATTGCAGTAGATTTAAAACTCGGGTATACTTCAAGCTTCTATCATATTGGATGTTCTCCGTTTATTTCTAAAAGGAAATTAAAAAAAAATAACAGTTCCATAAAATACAAAAATGGATGCAATTTGAAAGTAAAATAGCCACAATTGAAGTAACTTAAGCGACAGAAAACCGAAACTGTTTCATCTCTGTAGCCAGTTGATTCCCAAATAATCAATATCTTGTATAGTATGTGCTTTAAAGAAGGTAAAACCTTAACAAGATTGACCTCAGTAGGTTTTCAGTTTTTGGATATGTCCAGTCAAGCTCACGAGGTTTCACTGTACCTCTCCATATTGATAGTTGTGGGTGTGTGCTTGAGCTATTGTGTGTTGCTCTTTAAATATATGTACTATACTCCATGTGTCTGTGCTTGTGTGCCTTCACACATTTTCTGTTTACTTGCTTGGGGAAAGCGTCTCTGTCGTCTGAAAACAGCTGCAGCCTCGGCCTCGAAGATTGCGTTGCAATTAATCACCAAAACAAAACGCATTGTTTGCGACAACGCCATGCGATCCATATGTTTCCCTGGTTATTATTTTCCAGGCCCTCCCCGGGCTGCTGTTAAAGCTTGGTTCTAGCTTTTGCACATTTCTTATGATCAAAATTTATAGCGACCTGATAAAGGCATAACTCTCAAGTTCCATTGGTCTACTTTTGTTTTTCATACATATATTATTATAAGTATGGAATTGTTTCTAATGTACTGAATTGTAGAACCATCAAGTAAAATTCCGAATGTTGTATTTGCAGAAATAATGCCACCACTTAGTTCTTCAAAATTTCGAACCAACCGTTAGAATGATCATAAAATAAATCTAGCGCCTTGTAAGAGTTACTTACTTTCCGACTTAGCTAGTAAAGGTTTTAAGTCTTGGGAACAAACAAGATCAAATGTATAAAGCCATAATAATGAAATATGAAAAGAAGTTATTAGTTACACTGAGCCCACATTTCTTTAGATATTTCTTTACTCCACAAACAAACAAAAATGTTATATGTGAATAAAGACCAAATATATAATGTCTTCAGCCATCCAGAATTATCTGAAATAATTGGCATTTAGAATGTTATTTACTTGTAAACGTAGTCATTAAATAAGCGATCTTAAAATATTTAGATCTAAAGCATCGGTATGAATTATTTGCTCCAAAGAAGATAATCATTAATGATCATAAGCTTACCACTACCAAGGAGTACCATTTCCCCATTTTAATAATTCATTAATTAATTCATTATAATGGCCAACCTACCTTTGAATTCCTTTTCTGTAAGCGCAATTTATTCATTGATTTTCTGTCGTTTACAATGATATCAAGCAATGGTCAATAGAACTTTATTCAAGAAAACTTTGTGTGCTTTTATTATGCTCGTATGTATGTATGTAAGTATGTAGGTATGTAGGTTTCCATTGATAAGATTTTGTCTTGTATATAGAAGAAAGATTATTCTTTTATTTATGTGTTTAGTCGAAATGCCAGAACATGATTTTTGGGTGATTTGTATTTTTTTGTTTTAATTATTTACAGTACCTTTCGTCACGAAATATTCAATAATTTGTCGTTTATTTTTTATTGCATATATAAAAATATCAAAATTTTTTTAATTTAATTTAATTGTTTTTGTTTAGCAAGTGGTATATTACTTGAAATAATCCATTTTATAAACGTTTTTCATATTTTCTGTTCGTATGAACTTTGCAAACTGAAATGATAAACTTTTCGATTAGCTTTTAAAGGTTATACCTTTATGCAAATACAAAATTGATTTTTATGTGGCTTTGCATAAAGCACAGCACAATAGAGGCAACTGTAACAGTATATACTCATTGTAACTCAGAACTGATCGCTCTTTCTTTCTTTTTCTTTTTTTGCTTCTTTGGGTTATAAATATTTCGAATTGTTTTTTTTCATGTTGGATTTATGCTATGGGGTGTACTCATTTGCTTACTTTTTTGTTTAATAATTAATTATTCACTTTAAATGATATCCTTAAAATTGTATATTTAAATGTATATATAAGTATATATGTATCGTACGTAGTAAACTATTTTTATATCGCCCTCAAGTATGCGCAGTTTAGTTCAGATTTATATTCTTTCTTTTTTCCTTTATTAAAAATAAGTTACTATCGTTTTTTGGGCTTATTGGTAGAGTGTGTGGTAGGTAATTACCATTTCTATGGAGCAGTTGAAGCAGAATATATATAGTTTTTTGTAGGTTGCAGCTTGTTCTATTGCATCGATGGAAGACTTGTAAATGTTGAGGCCATGTCTCCTTGATAACTGAACTGCATGGGTAAGAATTGGGATTACAATGAGTGCCGAAGTAGCGGAAGGTATAAACTCAGCTTACCTGCGGAAAAAGTGGTTCTTCCGCTATTGAACCTAATGGACCGGTTGAATCGGGTGGCGTTAGTTCGACACTCTCACCCGTAAACTCCTTGTCAAAATAGCGTGTATCTGTATCTGATTCCACTGACGGCTTGAAAGGCGGTGTTATCTAGAAGACAATAGAATTGGACAACAGGATTTGTAATTATGTATTCCACCCTATTCACTTTAGAATTACCTTCTTTTGGACTAAATCTGTCCAGTTAATACTCGCGAAAAAGGGATGCGCTTGTATTTCTTTAACATCATCTGGACCACCACCTAAACGTTTTTTCGGATCCTTTGCTAATAAACCAGACAAGAGACTTTTGGCTTCCTCACTTATGTTACGTGGAAATTTAACAGCCTCGGAGAGAATAAGCATGAAGAGCACATCATGGTCACGATTGTAAAAAGGAAGACGACCGCATATCTATAAAATGGACAAATAATTTGCATTGAATTTGAAGCATATTTAAATTTTAACACAAGGAATGGTAAGAGTCTAACATACCCAGTTCACAAAAAAAAAAAAAAAAAAAAAAAAAAAAATACATAGATAAAATATTTAACAAAAAATTAAATTAATTAAATGAAATTAATAAAATAAAGGTATATAACAGTCTGTCACGACTACTTTTGTGAGTTGCATACATTCGCACTAAAATACCATACCCTTCCCTTTTACCCTTTGGGTACCGGCTGTAAAAGTAAGAATGACACTTACCATCTCGTATAGAACTACACCAGTGCCCCACCAATCCACCGCCTGCCCGTAATCGTTATCATCTAATACTTCCGGCGCTAAATATTCCGGTGTGCCGCAAAATGTTTTCGTTGTACGCCCATCGGTAATATTCTCTTTACACAGTCCAAAATCGGCGACCTTTATGTGTCCATCTTTGTCCAGCAAAAGATTTTCGAGCTTTAAGTCACGATATATGATGCCCTGGGAGTGCAAATAACCCAATGCGGATATGATCTCGGCCCCATAAAATCGTGTACGATCCTCAGTAAAGAAGCGTTCATGACTTAAATGCCAGAAGAGTTCACCTCCATTCACGTATTGCATGACAAAACACAGGCGATCATTGGTTTGAAATGAATATTTAAGGGACTGAAAAGGAAAGGATAGCGTTAGATCGGCCGAATATACAATCAGTGTCATATACGTGCATGTACTTACAATAAGAAAGGGATGGTTTGTAGACTTGAGTACACGACTTTCAGTAAGTGTGTGTGCTACCTCGTCCTTTTGAATTATAACTTCCTTTTTGAGAATTTTAATTGCATACAACTTGGCTGTGGCTTTTTCGCGACACAGAATGACTTTGCCGAATGTGCCTTTGCCGAGCACCTTCAAGAACTCAAAGTTCTCCAATGTCTGTGAATAAAAAAGCTCATAAATATGAATTACATGTGTTCCGAATATTGAATATGGTTGTACCCTTGTGACATAAACACATTAATTTGTATACTCTGTACATGAAATGTATAAGATATGTTTGCGGGAGGTGAAAAATGTAACACACAGAAGGAGGCGTGGCAGACCCCACAATGTATATATTACATATATATATATATATATATATATATATATATATATATATATATATATATATACACCTGCTTAAATTTTTAAAAATCTATAATTATTCTACACATATGTACAAAGTATTTCAAAGTCGGGGCACTCGACTTTTTTTTTCCACTTGTTAATTATGTATAAAGTAAAGAACAAAAACTGTTTAGTTTTAATTTGTTTAAAGCTATAATTTTAGATATTAGGTGCAAAAACGCAATTAAAAACATTTCTGATATTCAGGATGAAAATCTCTTACAATTTCCTCCAATATGGATTGGCTATTAGAATGTTGCCCGAGTGTTTCATTTTTAAATCCACACAATGGATCCAAATAGCATACCCAGCCATGTTTTAATTTGGGCCAAACTAGTTACTTTAAACTACCTCCTTGGGCTCTCTACTGTTTTATATATTATAAAATGTTTGGAACTTTGATACTTACGACTTTTTTAACACCACTTCCGGTGCGCGTTGTGCCCTGCACTAAGAACTTATCCGACAGCTCGACCTCGGCTATGGCCGCCATATCCACATCGGCCGCATCTGTTTCCTCTGATGGGGACATGGCCGTCTCGCCCATTTCACTCAAACGACTTGCTACATTTCGGATGGCCTCGGTCCACTGTTGGCGCTCCGCTTCGGTCTCCACGGCGAATGTGCGCTCTATCACAGTCGTCCATTGCAGGCCACGTATGATAAATGTAAATGGTTTGGGACGATCCACCGTCATAATCTGACATCCGCGAACAGTAAAATTGTTTAGCAACTGATCCGATTGCGTAGTATCTGATGGTCTGCTGCGGTAGCCCATAAGCGTTCCATCATGGCGTAGGATAAAGTAACGTGGGCGCCAGGTCTTTATGTGCTCGCCACGTTTCTGTAGCCAACCCTCCTTGACGATTTGTGGTCGCACTGTGAATGGATCAATTCGTGATGGCGAGGTTGCCAATAATGACATGATCGCCGCTTTATTTTGGGAAAAATTTCGGGCGTGTAGTAATCTGATATCGCTGCCGGCGTTGGCGGCGATGTATGGGAAGTAGATCCTTATAAAGTTGATTCCCTCCGATTGTTCGAAATCTGTGGCTGATACTGCAATTGAAGGTAAAAAATCCGTTAGCTAATTAAACTGTTTATTATGGCGATATTCATATACATGTACATTTATATTTATTTATAAGATGTATGAGTACAACTTTTTTAGCATTGCTATGATAAATTACAAAAGCATTTGTTGTTACAACTGCATTTGCGTCACATACAGAAAATCCCACCATTAACGTAATATTAACGCACTTGACTAAATTTTTTGCAGACGTTTACATAAAATTAAGCACATGATAAATTTCTAAAGATATACATACAAAATTTTTAAGATATACTACAAAGATACCTTATGGTTTTAATGGATGGTTAAGGCTAAGATCTTTGAGGATCATCATGAATATGTTGCTCTGATTAAAGCGCCAATAAAGATATTTTTCATATATCTCAGGGACTCCGTAACGATATGGGTAGCTAATTATATCCACCGCATGAATGGTTATAAATAGTTTGTTGTATTGAAACACCACTGTAATCGCAATAGGGCTGTCGGTCTGCTGAATGGGCGCTCATGACTAAGAGCCCACATATTTGTTGTAGGTCGTTGTGGCGCCGCACTTGTTATTCCCTATAGCTTCAAAGAAATTCCCCACACAATGTTCTTCTATGTGTTAAGATTGTATACACACACCCACAAACACACATATGCACGTACTTACTACATATGTTTAAATTTTTCGCGATTGGGTTTACCGCGAAATCAGAACAAGTCTGTGGTACAACCCGCGTTCATGAACTTATACATATGTTTGTATACATGTATGTGCATTCAACACAAACAAACATAAATACACACATGCATACATACATATGTACATACATACCTAGCCTATACGGTTCGAGCTAGTTGCGATTTACAAACAGACAGAGAGTGTCTCTGATAAAGGTGTGATGAGCAGCAAGGGGCGACTGTCTACGTATATATGTATGTATGTACGTACATATATGCGTGTGCATGTATATGTATGGGTGTGCGGCAATGATCGCAAAAACATATTCATTTGCGATTTGCGAAAATGTCAAAGACGTGCTATTGCTGTTGCGGTCGTTTTTTGTTGTTGTTGCTATTGTTGCCGTTGCCGCCTGTCTGCCGGCTGTACAAATTTCGCTATCTAAAACCGTAAACAAATGTACATAAAATGAAATTGACACAATACATACATACATATGTACATACATATATCCCACGAATGTATGACTTATGCATTTGTCTGTTATTTTGGGGGAAACACATTTCAACAAGTGATAGAAAGATAAAGATATGGAACACCAATACGAGCGACCAAAACAAAATAATTGTAGCTACACAAAATGCAAACATAATATGTATGTACATACATACATACATACTTAATGACATACTCGTGCATACATACATATGTACATGACACAAAGGCCACGGCTGTCTGTGGCAAATGCCTTTCGCATCAACATTCATGCATACATACATATGTTTGTACATACTCTTATATGTATTTTTGTTTATACATACGTATGTATGTATGCATTTACTTATGTACATATGCATGGATATGTATGTATGTATAGACATATGTTTGAATTCCATTGAATTATGGGCGCTAAAACAGTTGTTAATTCCGCGAAAACTGATTGCAAATAACACACTGATTTTAATGTATTTCGCCAAAGTACAAACCAGACTTCTGTTGTTTTTAATGTAAAAAGCTGGCGCTCTAAACTGGTGACAGCAACGAAACGTCACGGCCTTAGTGCTTATGTGTTGTTGTTGCTGCTGTTGCTGTAGTCGTCTCAATTGTTGTTGTAGCTCCTGCTGTGAAAAAGGCAACAACAGTATGCAAATGGATGTCCGATTAATGTCCACGCGTGAACGCTAGTATAATTGTACACAATTTTCAATGCACTGCACAATAATTAAGCACTTTTTATACAGTTTGGCTCTTTTACGCTTCACTTTTTTTCTATGGAAGTGAAACTTGGTCACCGTCTCGGTGGCAGGACTTTAACTATTCACATAACACTCGCTTGTAAATAGCGCGTTTAACATTCTCAAACGTTTTACGCACCAGCTCTCACCGGCGACCTATTATTTTAGTACAATTCTTCTAAATTCGAAATTTCCACAAATTTTTGTGAAAAAAAAATAGTAATGGCGATTCAGGCTAATACTGACCAGACTTTAGGAACAACAAAATGCCGCGAGCGGAAAATACCAAAATATATATTTTCTAATTTTCAGGCGTGTACACACTGATCGGTCGGAGTAACCACCTTGTTATCTCAAACTAGTATTACGTATTTTCTCGCTTTCAAAGTGCGGTCTTACTGCACAGAAGTTCCACCAATTGTTTAATGCAAAACGCGTATATTTTTTAATTAAGTCGTTTGAATTGTTGACAGGTAAGCAGCAGAAACGGTATGCTGCCCTGATAATAATACGGACAAAGCTATATCGGCCTTTTCTTCTGGTGAAAACATTGGCAAATTCACTTGTTTGGGTGTGCGTTTCTTATCAAGAAAAAAACTGCAAAAACAATGGTTGGGGTGCTGGAGTTATTGTTGGTGTTGTTGTTGTGTTTTTGTGGCGTGTGGGGCAGCCAACTTTCTTTTTTGCCTTGTATTGGCCGTTGGTGGTGATTGTCTATTGTTTGCTAAATTCTTAAAGTACGCATTGACGGTCGACACAAAAATTCAATGCTAAATCGGCTTGCAATGCCAAAGACAGTGTCAGTGTTTATGTGCTAAAAACAAAACAAAACGGCAAAAAAAAAAATAACAAAAAGAAATCATCACCTACATACGTATGTAGGTATGTGTGTATAATTGTATGTGTGTACGAATTGTATTCAGTGAGAAAAGCAGTCGGCTAAAGAAAGACCAGCGAAATTGTTTATATACATATTTACATATGTATGTACGTGTATGTCTTCCATGCGGGTGTTCCAATATAGAAATGCATGTGTATGTGCTTGTGTGTGTATGTATGTGTAGTTGGCGAAATTGCATTCGCTAGGGTTTATTTCGTAGAGAGAGAGTGCATAACTAGACGCTCAGTGAGCGTGCGAGCACACAAAAAACGCAAAGCTAACAAAAATTGTAAGACAAGTCCAATCTCCCACCCATAAACACAACCACGACCACAATTGTACATATTTACATAAGGCCAAGTGGCAGTTGCAGTGGCCAAAGTGCAGAGCAGAGCAGAGCAGACAACAAGAAATGTAAATCAAATTAAGGCGGCCCGACCAGCAGAAGGGTTAAACCGTGTACATATATACAACAATCAATTGAACTAAAACAGTGCAAAATGACACGCCCTTGATCTTTCAAGCGTTTTTTCTTACACCCGATGAGCATCCCTTCCAAATTTTCAAACACATATGCACGTACATATGTACCACAATAAAGACGCCGACATAGACGACGACACACACACTCACAAAAAGCACGATGTTCAACTTTATGAAGAAAAACGCTGGCGATGAGGAGAAGGAACGTCGCAAGCGCGAAAAGAAATTGCGCAAAGAGGCTAAAGGGAGCGTCACGGGGAGCATGAGCACCGATGAGTTGCTGCGCCTGGATGAGGTTCGTAAATGGAATGTAATAGAATTACAATTGAATTCATTATCGGTTTATCTTGCAGGTGCGTCGTTCCCTTAAGATACGCGGTCGCCGCAAAGAGAAGGAGAAACTTCCCAGTGGCATAACTGCCGACTATAGTGCCGATTTCTTTGCTGCCCTCAATGCTGATGCCAGCAGCGGAAATGGAACTGGGCCCGAGCAGGATCGTGGCAATGAGGAAATTGTAGCATCTGTGATGACACACATTGAGAGTCGTGCCATGAACGGAGGTGGGGGTGGTGTCAACTACAGCGAAATAACACATTCCACTTTGGCCGCAGGACTTAAGGTATGTCGCTGATACAAAGATACATATTCATAAAAACCATATATTCAAAAATCAATTATTTTGAACCATTTGTTTCAAAATGAAATTTGTACACAATTAGTGGATTCATAATTATTGACACCATTAATTAAATGGGGCCTGGCATACCTAAACGAGCTAGCAGGAATATTTTATAAAATCTTTACCTCTATTTTAGATCTGTCCTAGGTTGGGAAATTATTAAATTTTTTCATGATGGTTGCGGCATGATTTGAATCGATTGCCTAATCAGGAACACATTTACATTGTGGGCTTCCTGCTATCTCCTTAATTTATGCAAGGACCCACTCTATATATAAATTCTTCAATTTCTTACTAAGACATTTATTTCCTTTCTCGCACGCAGAATCGCTTTATGCCGCCGGTGCCACCAAAGCCGCCCAAGCGCGGCATCTTGAAAGGGTCCCGTAGCAACATGAGTAATGTGCACGAGGAGATTGCGTTTCCTGTAGGTGGCACACCAGAGTTGCTCATACGCAACACCATGCAAAATGAGCTTTTGTACGAGAGCAGCGGCTCACGGGGTGCGGCCGGCTCCATTGGCTCAAATTCCAGCCATCATGGCACCTCGTTTACTTCCGTTGAGAGCTTGAGAAGTGATGGCGAGCATCCGCCTCAACAGCGCGCAATGACATTGCCGGCCAATGCACGATACGGTGCTTTGCAGACAGCGGATGGCAGACAAGCTGGTGGGACTTTACATCTGCACGTCTTGACATCACCGTCACCGAGCGCGGACAGTCTCACAGATACCACAAACTCCTCGTTTGCCACGCCGCCCTTCTCGCTGAGTCCTGTGGGCGAATCGCAGGGCATTGATCGCTGGGCCCGAGTACACGCCTTCGAGGATGTCGACTTGCCCCTGCCGCCGGTCAAGTTGGTGCAACTGCCCCCGCCTAGGGAGCTGGTCATACACCGTCAAAAATCGCCAAGGCAGGATTTTGGTTTCAGTTTGCGCAAAGCCATCTGCTTGGATCGCACCGAGTCACTGACTGCACCCACATTCCGGCCCGTTATTTTTGCTGAGCCTGGTGCGGGGGGCGGTGCTACGGGTCTATTGCCTGGCGACCGATTGATCAAGGTCAATGGCACGCCTGTGGTTGAGCTCTCACGTGAGATCATCATTGAGATGATACGCAACAGCGGCGACTTCGTCACTGTGGAGGTTGGTAGCAAACACCTATCATGTTTTAAGAAATTCTAATTACTTTGGTTCTCTCTCAATAGGTGCAGCCTGTTGCCGAGCTGGTGGAACTGAGCAAGCGTTGCATGGCACCAAGTTCGGCAACTGTTGAGGAAATCGATCATTCCATTACAAATGGAAACTGCAATACACTAAGACGCAGCGCTAGCAAACGCTTCAAACGACAGGTGGGTACATTTTATTGCACTCTTAATATGTGTGGGCCTCATTTAATGAAAGAGGAAATGAGAAACTTTAGAAACATTGTCAAAATCGTGTAGGCCCAGCAAAATTGAATAACACCCGACATGAGGGTGCAGCTTTGGAACTGTTGGTACAAATTCTTATTTGTTATGCATTTTGAAATAACACATAGACTATAATTTTGATTATATTAATGCAATCTGCAATACATACTTATAGCTTCGTTAGAGAACTTGGCAATATTCAAATAATTTGACAGGAGTGAAGTCGCACCAATTCCAAATCTTTCGAACCATATCTACTAGAAAAAGGAAATTTGGCATGCAGACTAACATCTTTGATCCATGCGCAGGCCAATGTCATTTTCAATCATATCATCATCAGCGATAGTTCCAAAAAAGAATTTTAGTTGGGTAACTAGTTGTTTATTAGTTAATAAACAATACCTCTTAGAAGTCCAATCAACTTTTAGAAAAGCACTATTGTTCAGTTTGGAAAATTAGTAATTTCTCAAAGTAATGACATCTTTATTAAAATATACCAACATTACCATTACCAAATATGTACTATTATAAAGAAGAGCCCAACGAGTATTTCTATTCACACAGATAGACGGGCTCATATATTATAGATCCACTTGTCCCTTTGTGCTAATTAAAAATAAATATCATTTTTTGGTACTTTAAAATCGAACTAACTATCTTTGGATTGTATAATCGCACTCAAAAAGGCGAGTAAAACGTCGATGGTAAAATAGCATAAATACAGTTTAAATTATTTTATAAGAATTTTCTTTTTGGACTATAGGCGCTTTTGACCTGTCGCTAAGATATGTAGATACCAATAAACTTTAGGGATTGGGATCATATATTTTGTCCGCTCGTAATTACCACGAACAGTGGGAATTTGTTAAGATTAAACCTAATGAATCCAATAAACGCTGTCCACGATAACAGAGTTCAGTTCGCTTTTGGGTATTAGGTATACTATATAGTACGTAATATGTCTGTTTTTATAAACACGCCGCTTGACATAACTCAATTTCGCATTAAACAGAAAACCTGTTTGAAATACATACATACACACTAACATAAATGTATAAACATTGCTTTTGTTTACAAAAGTTGCATATGAATTTCAGTTGCAAGAACACAAATATCGGCACAAAATTGCGCTGCTGCAGTCAACAGCCAGCCAGCCAGCCAGCCTTTGAAATTGTTTCGCCTAAATGCTGTTAGATATGCCGTCGCTATTAGGGCCGCAGACAGAGTTTCAGCATTAGCCGCGTGTGTGTTAGTTCGTGTGTGTACGTATGTGTTTGTGTGTGTAGCACGACTGACAGTAGTGCAAGATCGCAGAGAAGGCGTCAACATTGGTATCGCAGCTTACGTCGACGTCGACATCGCTGCCGATACCGCTGCCAGTGCAGTCTTTGCGCATTTTTACGCCCACTGCTGACTGCAGACGCTAGGTGGCTGCTATCTCTGTTTTGTCGCTGCTGCTGCCGCTGCGCCTTGCCTTTTGCCTACACACAAATAGCGAAGACAGCAGCGACGTCGCCTCGTCGTTGGCGTCGTCGTCGGCGGCACTGCAACGAATGTTTGTACTTACCAGAGCTTTGCGGCCGCTGCTGTAGTTGCTGTTAATACTGAGGTTGTTGTTGTTACGAATGTGTGTGCGTCTGCTGCTTTTATATTTGACTTTTTTTGTTGTTGTTGCCTGCCTCGACGTCGATTTCGTTGGAGCGCTGCTGTTAGTACGTTGAAAACTTTACCCAAGTTCGGTACGGAAATTGTCGACGCGGCGCGCTCACCCACAGTGAACAAAGTTTACCGAGAGATTTTAAAGCTGCTGCCCGCCGTCTGCCTCAAAGGCATACAGCAACAACAACACCGACGACGACAATATACAAAATGTATCTTGTCATTCAAGAGATACGCGAAGTTTGCTTTATTATTATTTATAACTTGAACGTGTTCGTGACTTAAGTCTTGCATTTCAATCAATTTTTGTGAGACTCGCCGCACCGCTCCCGGCATTAAAAAAAAAGACTAAATCGCTAGACTACGTCGTCATCTTTGATTGGCCGTTTTGAGCAGCCCAACAACAGTTGTAAATGTTGACAAAGCAGCCCCACACAACCCTAAGTGCTCAACGTTGTTTTCGTAGTATTGCTGCTCCAGTCCAAGGTTTTGAGCGCGTTCTAATTTTTTCTGTACTTACGCACGCGCCGACAACTTGACTTCCCGCTCGCTTGAAGGCATTGTTGTTGTTATGCTTCAGAGGCTAACAGTTGTTTAAGCCATGACAAACAATACACGAGCAGTGCAGTGAGAAACGCCTATCACATGACAAACAGTTCGAAATCGCCATGTTTTTGAAGCCCAAGACCTTTGAGCAGACTTTGCGCGGTGGCATTGTGCCCGCCATACCCGCCCAGCCAGGCGCTGGTCTTAATCCGTCCTTTCACAAGGGATGCACGGGCAAGGCACATGCATGTGGAACCAGCAAATCCCAGAAACTCCCCCCGAAGCCAGCACAGGGCAAAGCTACGCCCCCAAAGATGACGAAGCAGCGCAAGAACAGCATCAGTTCAGAGACCATAAGTGAGAGTGGCTCGGAGAACTCAAGTTCCTGGCCCTCCAAACAAGCAAACGAAGTTACTGCATGTTTGCCCTTGATAGCCAGTAATTCCAACGACCCCAGGGAGGTACCGAAGCAAATCTCTAGCCCCCTACAAAGGAATACAATTAAGTCTCGCAGCCTTCGTCTGGCCCCGCAAACTAAACAAAAGGGATCAACTACAACAACTTCTCCGTCCCCAATCATACGCCCACCTTGGAACAGCGCTGCAGCAGCCACGCCATCCAAGACCGCAGGGTCCGGAACTGCATTTTCAAACAACATACGCAGTTCTTATCGACGACGTCGCGATGCCAGTCTACAGTGGTCAAACATTTGGGCCAATGCGTTGGCGTGCAACCATAAAAATTATGATGCAAGCGTAAAGCAAAAGGTGCGCATTACAAAAACTTTCTAGGCATAGTTAGACCGTTGCACACTGGGCCAATATATTTTTGAAAGATCCATCTTCTATTAGAAAATATGAATTTTCACTAAAGCATAGATTTCCGAATACAGGTTTTTAATGTCTTTGAAGCACATTTTAGAAAATTATGTTAATAACGTTTGGTAAATATTTAGTTGTTATACCCTGTACCCGTAGGGTAAAAAGGGTATATTAGGCTTGTGCAAAGTATGTAACATGCAGAACTTTTATTTTTTCGAATTTTCCCCCCCTTTCCCTGCAACAGAATTTCGACAATACCGTACACATTTCAAAAGCGACCCTAACCAAACTTTGCACACATAATTTCTATATAATTATCTACTTTTGTTTAAAATTTCATCTAAATCGGTTAGTTCTAAGAAAAGTTAGCGCAAACAATTTACTTCGGTACTAATCTTCATTAAAAAAACTGCCCTGAGTTGGACAATTATTAAATTATCTTAATCAGAAGCTAATTCGAACGCAGAATCTGATTTGAAAAGAAATTAATTGGAAAAAAGCGATTTCAGAGAAAAAGAAATTTGTTATGTAAACAAACAAATTTTTATTTTTACAAATAAGAATTTTTTGATATTGTTAGCCCAATGTGCATTGGTAGTTTGTCCCCTTACCTCCGAATAGCCTTTGGGACATGCCATACTTTATACTTTATTTACTTTTCATGCTTCTTCATTATGGTCGTCATTTTAGCGTTGGCGTTGGGGCATCAAACTCCAATGGCCGTTCATTGAGCGTTGGGCCAATGTCTGTCATTTAACTATACAGTCGTTTTGTCGCTCCATTTGTGGTTTTATGAGCCCCCTACGCTGCAACGACAAAGACGACTGCAAACGGAAACACTCATTTAGTTGCGTTGCTTCATTGTTTTGTGTGAAGTGTATAAGAAATACTTAGGTTCGATCCACATGATATATGTTTGTTTGTATGTATGGAATCTTAACTGCTTAACAGATCTTTCCGCCAGTTAATGAGTGCTAAACAGCCCTCTCTCTCTCTTCCTCTTTGTATAGCCATGCAAATTAGCGTAACTTTCTGCAGTTCATTATCAAAAATTTTGTGCGCTTCATTTACTTAGATTGTGAGGTTCATTGAACTGAATGTCTGCGTTATGAAAATAGTTTCAAATAACACTGTGTGTGTGCGTTTATCTTATAGAGAAGTTCCGGTCGTTTTTGTGAATGAATTTTCTTCTTTGTTTTTTTTTTTTTTGTGCCTGAAAACGTTTTCGGCTTTTACAGTTCTTTTATCATCGACTTATTATCGACAGTATCGTTTATATTAATGTATTGTAAACAATCAATGATGAACATGGAAATGATCCGAAATCCATCGAAAGCCTTTTCAGCAAGTTTGTTTATAAATAAAGTCTTGCTAAATTGATGGTTTCAGTGTGAAGAGCCTCAATGTTTATTTCTTATGCAACGACTTCAGCCTTTCGAAACTCCACACCTATAAGCTTCTTATAGCTATTTGATATATATGTATATGTTAAAGGGATTTACTAGTTCTGGATTGCCTTCTACATATTTCCAACTTCTTCCAAAAGGGGGTTTGGCTCATTGTTTTATTTAAATCATAAATTAATTAGAGATCTGTCCTCAATCCTACTTTTTAGTCTTGGGACACTTCAATGCTCACGCACCTCTTGAAGGCCCTTATTAAGGGCTATTGAACCTTGCACAATATGTATTCATATTTACTCTAATGTGTAACTAGTCCATTCGGCTACAAAGAAAACAAAAAGCTGCTAGACTAACGCCTCTGCGCATAAAATTCTGTATAAAGATACAAAATGTAAACTACAGCAACTGCAGCTAAATGCCATTTATAGCTCTAAATGTGAGCTGAACGTGTTGGCAGCGCGTAGTCGGCGACGTTGAGAGTTGCATAACGCGTCGTCTGGTTTCGGGCGTCTCGCCCGACCGAACCACCGACCGAACGACCGACCGACCGACCCACCAAGCAAGCGAATAGGCAACCAATTAAGATTTAGAAACATCATCAAATCTAGAAAAGGAACCAAAATAAATATACCGCAGCGTGAACTGCTGAAGTAATAAATGGAATAAATGCGTGTAAAATGTAGTCGACAAAAATAGATGTTATTATACCCTATGTGCGATCGGTATGAGGGTATTGTCATAAAATTCCCAAACACGTGACACCTAAAAAAAGGTGTAACAGGCCGCATAGAAAAACAATCGAACCGTCCATGTGTGTAAGCCCTCTGGTTATTAAATGTTTAAAAGGCTGCGTCGACTAACGGGCTATGTGGGCTCTGCTGAGAGACTGCAAGTGTTCGATTGTCGATTTTTCACCGAACCGTGTACTAAGGAGTCCATAATAACGAAATAGCCCCACCCGTGCATAATTAGTCACCTGTAACTGCTTAGAACATATATTCCATACGCAAACCCTTTTTTATAGCCTGTACCCTTAGGGTAAAAAGGGTATATTAGATTTGTGCAAAGTACATATGTGTTACATATGCAGTATATATATTCTGAATCAGCATGACGAGAGAAATCGATCTAGACATGTCCGTCCGTCCATCCGTCTGGATGAACGCAAGGATCTCAGAAACTATAAAATCATACCTGGGTACAGGGTCGGGCTTGCTCGACTGTAGCTTTCTCTCTTGTTTTTTCATAAGTTTATGACTTATTGTTCAAATTGGGGGGTACAGGGCATTTAAGAGCCGGGCCCACTCGACTCTAGCTCCCCTTTCTTGTTGAAAGTTGACGTTGCAACGCGCCTTCAAACTTCTTTAATATTTATGTCTTGCAGAGTCGGCATGAGAGCGACGCAACTAATTTCAAGTTGGATGACGTTGACAATGCGCTGCCAGAACGCGTTTGGTTAGTGCACCGAGGAGGCTTTACTGCTGCACTGCGTCAGCAAAACACGGCGATATCGACAGAGGAGCAGCAGCATAAGGTGACAATACGACTGCTTCACAATGGCGAGGAGTTGACCGTCGACGAGGATGATATAGAAAAGCAGAATTCACCGAATCTCGATCTGGTCGAGGATATCTGTGAGTTGAAGTATCTAAATGAGGCATCTGTGCTGCACTGTCTGCGCCAACGGTATGCTAGTAATCTTATCCACACAAAGGCGGGGCCCACGTTGCTGGTGGTCAATCCAATGGCGCCGCTATCGCTCTACTCCGAAAAAGTAAGTCCCGACTGGTTATGATTGCGTACAACTATTTTAGAGATCATACGTTTGTGGCATATCTTTTGTAGGTTGTCTCCATGTTTCGCGGCTGCAAAACTGAGGATATGCCGCCGCACGTCTATTCGCTTGCTCAAACCGCCTACCGGAGCATGTTAGAAACCCGACGCGACCAAAGCCTCATATTCATGGGGCGATCTGGTTCTGGCAAAACGACAAGCTTTAAACATGCGCTAAACTACTTGGCGTTGGTTGCTGGTATGTGTCTTTTATCGATGGTCGATTTGTAGTTATTCCTAGAGATGGGTGCGTGATATGAAACGTGAGCAAATAGCTTGACTGTGGAAGGAGCTGTGTTTAAAGAACTTTCAAAAAAGTTGTATAGAAGTCAAACTTTCTAGCAAATATTGAATTATTTTTCTCAAACTCGGGAACTGTCGTTCCTTTAAACATTTCTTTAAATCATTCTTTCATTTATAAACTGAAAAGATCTTTTGTTCATTTAGTTCAATGAAACCTCTTCTAAACAAATCGAATCTACTGGGCAAAAAAAAACTTGTAGCCTTAAAAGTTTTGCTTTGCTAATAAGGATTAAACAGAAAATCATCTAATTAAAATGCCTACTACTTAGGTTTGAATTCTAAGTATTTTCGAAAATATTTTATGCTTGCAAAATTTGATGCAATGCTTTAAGTGTGTAAAAATGATATCGTAACAATACAACCTTTTGTTAGCACAGAAGCGATGATTTGTCACGCGCCCCTCTTCAGTTATTTATCTTTTGTAGGCTGGCCCAGTTTGTGGCTTTGCTTATTTGCATACATTTTTGCTAAAACGCCAACCTGCTCAACCCACTTTCTTGTACTGTTTTTTTTTTTTTGCTGAATTTTCTGCACAGGGGCGTATAACAATTTTCTAAATGCGGAAAAAGTCAATGCGCTCTGCACGATTCTGGAGGCCTTTGGTAACACAAGGACATGCCTAAACACAAATGCTACACGTCTGACGCAGTTGCTAAGCTTAGACTTTGATCAGACTGGACAAATTGCGTCGGCCTCGTTGCAAGTAATACAATTGAAGATAACCTAGAACAGCCACAACGATACTGATTTCTTAATTGTCTGCAGGTTCTGCTGCCGGAACGTCAACGTGCCGGTCGTCGACTGGCCCATGAGCACAGCTTTCACATTATGACACGACTTTTGGCCGGGGCCGCGGGACTTTTGCAAAAAGAGCTGCACTTGGAGAATATTTCGTCCGAGGACAATCATCCATTCATTTCGTTGTCACAGAAACTCGAGGAACGTCATCGTTCTGCCAACGATTTCATGCGAACTGTGGAGGCCTTCGAAACACTTAACATTGACGCAAAGGCTGTGCGTGGTATTTGGAGCATTCTGGCTGCCATTTACCACCTCGGCATTGCAGGCATTACCAAAGTGGGGGCTGGCGTATCGGCACGCACCCAATTCGCCAATCCGACAGCTGCACGCAAAGCAGCCGGTCTACTAGGCGTCAATCTGGAGGACTTGTCCTCCGCGGCCTTTGGCCTGACGCAGCCAAATGCCAATGGAGGCGCCAGTTTGAGTCCTTCGAAGTCACCCACATCCGATGGAAACGAATGGGCTTGGGAATGCTTAGAGGCACTGGTAATAGGCCTTTACTCAGAGGCTTTAGCAGCAGTGGTGGCGCTCATCAATCGGCAAATATGCACATCGGCGCACACAATTGCCTCAATTTTGCTTATCGATACGCCTGGCTTTCAAAATCCAGCCAGCTGTGGTCAACAGGTGGGCGCTTCTTTAGCAGATCTACGCCATAATTATCTGCAGGAGCGCCTGCAGATGCTCTTCCATCACACAACCTTGGTGGCGCCACGAGATCGCTATGCGCAGGAGCTCGTTGAGATTGAAATGGAGCACGCACCGGAGTGCAATCCCGGTCCATTAATATCTCTCATCGATAAAGCACCACAAAATCATGTGGTACGCTCATCGCAACGCGACTTGCGGGATCATGATCGACGGGGCTTGCTGTGGTATGCATTTTCCTTACTTTTTATAACTTTTCTTCTCTGTCGCAATTTTTGACCATGGGGTGTAGGTACACAGCGATAAAGCTGTTTGTTAATAGGGACAACAAAAACTACGTCCATCCGACTTATTATAGAGCTGTCACTGGAATTACCCACCGATTTGGGGGAAAAACTTCATACTTCCAATGGAACTATCTGGTTCTGGTTTCAAAAGCTTTATATTAACAATTATTTTGCTAACATTGATTGGGTCCAAATCAGATAGCAACAGAAAATGTGAACAATCAACTTTAAACAAATTTCGTATAAGCATTTTTTGTTTTGCCTCAGCCTAACTTGTTTTTCGTATTTTAACGTATACTTCATTCGTTTTTAGAGACTACCTATATTACCTATATATTTCTAACCATCAGTAAGCAGTGTGTGTATAGGTGATTGTGAGCTATTGGGTGGAATATAAAATACCTATTATTAAAAAGATTATCCTTTAACATTGCTAGTTTTTATAGCCTGTACCCAAAGGGTAAACGGTTATATTAGTTTTGTGCGAATGTATGTAACACACAGAAGGAGGCGTGACAGACCCCACAAAGTATATATATTATTGAACAGGATGACAAGACGAGTCGATATAGCTATGTCCGTCTGTCCGTCCGTCCGTCTATCCGACCGTATGAACGCAAGTATCTAAATTCTAGAAAGTATAATTGGTAGAATAACTAAACTTGGTATCTAGATTCTCCTAAGACCGAGAAAGTACGAGTTTGAGTTTTTTTTTTCGATGCACCCCCCACTCCCCCGCAATTTGTATTTTGGTATTCGCCATAACTCACGTAATTTTTCGAATTTTCTACCCAGATTTGGCAAATACAACCATATAATGATTATCTGTCTGTAGGCAAAGTTTTATCATGATAGGTCAGTTACGGAGAAAGTTAAAGTTATATATAAACATAATCTCTGCCGAAGCTCTCCCCAAGCTCTGCCGGCAGCTATTGTTGTTGTTGCTTTGATTTATTTCTTTACTGCATACACGTTGTACTGGAGAGAATTTGTTTCGCTAATAACTTTTCTTAAAACTGACCTAATTGGATAACATTTTAAACTAAAGTAGATAACTGCACATATATTGCTTGTGCAATTGGATAGGTTTATGTAGCTTTTGAAATGTGGACAGTATTGACGAAATTCTGTAGCGGGAGAAGGGGGGAAATTCCAAAAAATAAAATAAACTCGTCCTTTCTCGGACTTAGGAGAATCTGGATACCAGCTTTGGTTATTCTAGCTTTTATAGTTTCTGAGATCCTTGCGATCATCCAGACAGACGGCCGGATGACGGACGGACGGACGGACATATCTAGATCGATTTCTCTCGTCATGCTGATTCAGAATATATGTATATACTTTATGGGGTCGGAGATGCGTCCTTCTACCTGTTACATACTTTGCACAAACCTAATATACCCTATTTACGCTACGGGTACAGGGTATACAAATTATAGAAGATCACTCATGGCATCATTTAAACTACAAATTGTTTCTGTTCTTCGTTTAGGTTGCTCGACGAGGAGGCCATATATCCGAACTCCAACGATGACACATTCCTTGAGCGTCTGTTCTCCCATTATGGCGACCGCGAGCATCACCTGCTTTTGGGCAAGTGTGCCGGGCGGCGACAGTTTGTGCTTCATCATTTGCAGGGCACCAATCCGGTGTTGTATGCCGTCGACGGTTGGGTGCGGCACAGTCGTGAGCATCCGGGAATACGCAATGCTGTGTCCTTGCTACAAGATAGCAGTCGTGATGAGATCAATCGCTTATATATTGGTTCGTTGACCAGAGGCTCTGGCGCCATGGTCTTCTGTGGATCCTTTGCCGGCCTAGAGGGCACACAATCATTAAGAAGGGTATCCAGCATCAGACGCTCCTTCACTACGGCAGGTGTGAAACGCAACTCCATCATGCTGCAGGTGAAGTTCACAGTAGATGGCATTATTGACACACTGCGACGAACAGGAACCCACTTTGTTCACTGCTATCTGCTGCAACATAATGCGGGAAAGCACAAAAAATATGGCGCGAACACCTCGCCCAACACATCAGTCCCAGCGGCAAGCGAGGCGTCCGAAGAGGAGATGATTAATGTGCCACTGTTAAGGAGTCAGGTGAAATAAAACCTCCGCCTCTACACTTGCTTCTGTTTTTAACTAGGATTTTCTATATGTAGCTACGTGGCTCACAAGTTTTGGAGGCGGCCCGCCTGCATCGCTTGGGTTTCCCCGAATCCGTGCCATTGGTGGAGTTTGTGCGTCGTTTTGGTCTGCTGGTTGGTGAGCTGGCCAACAAAGATGTCACTGTGGAACAAATATTGGCAGTCAACGAGATTGACGTTGCCAGCTATCGAATCGGACCTAGTCAGGTGAGTAACTTTAATATTCACTGATTGTAATAATACAACATTTAATTAGTATGTGGCAGCAAAGTGGAATATTTGTTGCTCATAATATAAGAAGCCCTTTTATATATATTCAGGTCATTTTTTTCCAATTCATCTTTAATCGATTTATGACACATCTACATAAGCGAAACACTCTTTGGAATCGACATTCCCATTTATGTATACTCTTTGAAAATCCAGAAAGTAAACAAATACCTAGTATTTCTCTAATGGTGTTATAAATAACATATTTAATTTACCAAATATTAGCTAACACAGTGTTTAAAAAACTTATGCAAATTAAAATAAAACAGTTAATGATTGAAGAGAATTAGCACGCCCCATATGTCAGGCTATACTTGTGTAAATATTCGCTTCGTATGCCGGTTCTTAATAGACATTTGCTAAAGATCTTGGTTAATTTGATAAATAGCTGCAAAGATTTCTGCAGTAATCACTAATGTGCAGTATAATATATACCAACAAATAAACCTTAGTTTAAGCTTAAAGCGACAAATCAAACTGTAGTGGGCCTCATACTTCGCCGAAAGAGTCCTCGCGGCAACACACTACTCTCCAAAATAGTCGACTCTATGGGTGTTCGCATATGCACCAGCCCATCCCCGTGCCCATATGGCGGTTGTCGCTTGGTGCTGAAGTAATATATGCCCGACTTGGGCACAGCTGGCTCACCGCCCATGAACCCGTCCGCTGTGCACGTTTTTTTGTCGCTGCTGTCTTTGCTGTTGTCTTGTCTGCAACCACAGCTCGCCGTCGTTATGCTCTGCTGCGAATCGCAACCCAGTGCACCAAACATCTTTGGGTCTCGAATCGACTGGGCGAAGTAATACAAGGCCGCAAAATGATCGCACGCGAAGTCAAATTCAGCAGCCGTTGCGTTTGGACATTGCGGTTGACCCTGACCCCAATTGGCGAAGAAGCTGGCCTGACTGAGTTCGACGCTCGGGTTGCCTAGCAGCGTGATGTCCGAGTGTATGGACTCCACGTAGATGGCATCATCTGGTGCGAGACGGTCCCTGGGTCCCAAATTCAGTTGACTTAGGCCGGCGGGATCCAGGGCAAATATGGCCCCAAAACGCTGGGGCTTCAGCAGCTTGCCGGCCAATCCCGATATGTGACTGCCAGCGCTGTGTCCCACCAGATACATCTGCTCATATGGCGCGCCTGTTGTCTGATGCAAGAAACGCACAAATTTGACTAAAGCGGCCGCTATGGCCGAGAGCTGTTTCGACAGACGCGAATAACTTATGTCCAAGGAGTATATACTCCAGTCCACGACTATAACGTTGTAGTTACCTCGGGATAGATATGCATCCTTGATGGCTGCATTAGAACAGTGGGTGCTTTTACCTGTCCAGCCGTGAATGGAAAATCTGCCGCCAAAAAGAACACAACATTACAAATTAACGCTTGTCTCTCAACTCATATTGGAAAATATTTATTAATGGACTTTTTGGACCGATTCGTTTTTTAAGTCGAAATGGGTGATAGTTTTGGACATCACATGTATATATATTCGCTTTCAATCTTTAAAGCTAAAAATACAAATATTCGCCGTAAATAAAAAATGTTCCCTGTGGTTTAAAATATCGGGCAAGATGCTTTTTTCAAAAATCATACCGAATTCCTGCACTGTCTGCCTAACTTTTTTCTCAGGGTCACTGCCACCGAACAAACCATTGCTACGATTGATGATAGGTTACAAAATTTAGGCAATCCGCTCTTTCCTAAATTGTAAAGCTTTAATATGCACCATCGAATAAATAATAATAATACTTCTTAGTAGTTTCCGGTTAATGGAAAAAAATTCTACATAATATATTTCAAGTCAGATTTGTCAAAATCTCACTTTGATTTATAAATCTTTAATTAACTTATAAAATTTAATTAACTGTGAATATTTAGCTCCAAGAAAAATTTTTACTTCTCTGAGTACTCGTATAAGTTTAACAGATATTAAAAGTATATAGGCTACAAATTTTAGTAAACCTTTTCGGAATCCGCTCTTTCCTAAATTGTATAGCTTTAATATGCACCATCGAATAAATAATAATAATAATACTAATAAACCTATTAAACTTCTTAGCAGTTTCCGGTTAATGGAAAAATAATTCTACATAATATGTTTCATGCCAGATTTGTCAACTTTAAGTCAAAATCTCACTTTGATTTAAGTATCTTTAATTAACTTATAAAATTTAATTAACTGTGAATATTTAGCTCCAAGAAAAATTGTTACTTCTCTGAGTACTCGTATAAGAGTAACAGATATTAAAAATATATAGGCTACAAATTTTAGTAAACCTTTTCGGAATTCGGCTCTTTCCTAAATTATATAGCTTTAGTATGCACCATCGAATAAATAATAATAATACTAATAAACCTATTAAACTTCTTAGTACTTTTCGGGTAATGGAAAAATAATTCTACATAATATGTTTCATGCCAGATTTGTGAACTTTAAGTCAAAATCTCACTTTGATTTAAGTATCTTTAATTAACTTATAAAATTTAATTCACTGTGAATATTAAGCTAAAAAAAATGTTCCTCCTCTGACTACTCGTATAAGTTTAACAGCCATTAAAAGAAAGCTTTAGGTAATGTGTATTATTATTACCTGACAGGCCACTTCGGATTAAAGTATGATTTTTGGAGTGAGGCAACGTCGCCTGGGCGCAGGACCTGACGTTTGTACGGATTTAGTGGTGTATATAGATCGTATCCTAATAGCTTAGTATTGGAGTAACGAAAACGTGGATTGATTATTGCACGTAGCTCCATTTTAAACATATCCTGCAGAGCGTTGAAGATGGAATTTTCACATTTGCCGCGCTCGTAGGCGAACATACGGCCACTGACAACTGAAATAATAAAGTATGTGATAAGTTAAACAATATGTAGTATGTGCACAGTATATATTTTATTACGATTTGCACTTTTCGTATCAGAGCAGATTTTAATTCGAAACAAGTTTTTGTTGTGTTTTCTTAAAGATTAGGTCGTCCACGAAATGAAAGGAGTTCGCAAATTGCATTGGAAGCACTCGCCACAGCAATTAACTGAAGAGTAATTAAGAAATACGACTGAATCACTGGTACTAACATCCACTTAAGCACTGTGTTATCAGGATCAATGTAGCGCCAAACCCCACTTGCATGTTTCACACGTATTATGGCCAAGATCAAGACCAATGCCGATGACAATTCGTGACAATGCGTCAATTAAAAGGCACTAAAAAATTCAACACGAACCCGCGCTCACTAAATGTATAACAATAATTTCTGAGCGACTCGCAGAGGTCCGCACCGTTACAAGCTTTGTGTCGAAGTATTGCCAAGTTCTAAAAGCAGGCTTGGTTAAATACAGAATTTCACTGTCAGGCCGTGCGACAGGCCGGCCATCGTTGCTGTAAGCCCAAGTCCACAAAGCTGACCGGCCGGATTGAGAACGCTCCGCTCATCAGTTGTGCGGCTAGATGGCTAACTGGCTGGCTCGTTGGTTTGTTCGCTGACAAGGGCGCCGATTGCCGGCTGCCATTAATATGACAAACTTGTTGAGTTGCCACTGCAACAACGACAATGACAACGACAACAAAAACAATGCGATTGAAGCCGCTAAAGCGCATCACAGCAGCAATTTACAACAATTGTTGTTACAATGCATACAAAACAAAATTGGCTGACTCTCAAAATCAATTAACAGTACGCCAATTGTAGCCATCACCATCACCATCACCCATGTACAAACTATATACTACATACTCGTACGAGTGGGTGGGGGTGTCAAAGTAATTTGTTATCAAAAAACAAACAAATCATTCCCAATCTTTGTAAAGCGTCTAGAAAGTGACTGGGCAGTACTTCGTCACAGCTACTTTGCGAAAGTCATTTGCATAAAATATGCTCATTTTATCTTATGCTAAGTATTAAGTATTAATACTTTAGAACTTTCTTTTTCACAAAGCCCTGCAAAATTGGATTCTGGTAGCCTATGCGTAGATCAGCATCGGCAACTTAGTTGTTCTCTTCGTGTTCATTTGCATAATAGCCGGCATTTCCTAAGCTGTCTGCCGACTGGCTTACCAAATATTTACCAATGCATTTTCCACTTCATTTACAAGTAGAATGATTTTCATCTATTGACTGAGAGACTTACATAATAAAAGTCATAGCCCACTTGAAGTAGTGTGGCGCCCAACCAATCAATCACTGGGTCGTCCCTCTTCCATACTCTTTTTATCAGTCAGTTTAATGGTCAGAAAGAATATATCGGAGATCGTAGTTGCTCATAAAGTGAGTGGTGTTTGCCAAATAACAACTTTTCTTCATCACAATACATACATAGTCCAATTTGAACTCAATTTGTTTGTTAACTGCTCAGATCAGACTAATTAGGCCTGCCAACAAATAGTGATGTCGTTGATCTCTCCCTGCTACCCTCATAATACAACCTGCAGGTAAACTTAGGTGAGATATGAGGTCTGCGTTTCGCTGAAATGATCAACTGCAAACATCATTAAAAAGCAGTCCCACATCTTTTGTCGGAATGGACACACAAATGTTTTTGTAAACCTCGTTAGGTTCGGGTTCAGCAACAATTTAATGCCACCTTTAAACTTGTCTCTGCTTTCAAGCACATGGGCAAGTGTCGAAGAATAAAAGTGTGAATTTAACGACAATACCTTTTATCTTTTTTACATTTACTGTCATATCAGTCCCTGCCCATTCCTGAAGTCGTTAATTTTTATTGGTGTGTCAAGAATTGTTTGGGAGGTTATACGAGGGCTGTCCTAATTATAACTTGGGCTTAGCATAGACAGATAATACTTATAATACCAGGATATCTGCGGATATGGTACAGCTGACAACTGTGTTTTGTATCCTGTTTTCAGCTACTAAATGCCGCTGTTAGAAATTGTTCCTTTGCCTTTTGAGTATTACAAGTATGATGTTACCATTTATCAGTAATAGCCTGCGCCGATCAAGCATCGCCATGTTCGACTTTAAAGCGACTATTCTGCAACGTTGGTGGTTTATCGAAACTGAGGGTGGCACTCAATTGTTTGTTCCAGCAACAAACGTTTTTTCGATTCGTTCACTTGAGATATCCACAATCTACAACGTATATAAAATATATATTAAAATACATTAAATATTAAATATTAACCCTTTGATGTGATTACAATTCATGTAGGTAAACTGTTGAGTTCAATGACCACCAAACTTTCTGAAATATTGAAATATTGAAAAAGCTTTGAATAATTATAAAAGTACAATATAAGTATTTTCACAAACAATTATTTTTCTTTTTTAAGTACGTACATATTTTTTGGGAACAAGTCCTATAGAGTATTTCGCAGTCAACTGCTACATTCCCTTGTTTCCATTTGTTTGCTTTCCAAATGTATTCATTTTGGATAACTCATGATCGTTAAACCGGGACGTGTCTACATGCAAGTTGCGTATTACAAAGTTTATTGACAGGACTTAACACTTTTTAGCACATATTTTGAGTTCATTATTAAGTGTTTGAGCTCAGTATGTCAATGGCACTTTGTCTTCGCGTCTTCCATTGATTAAATCGTCATTGTTTGCTAAGCTAATTCGGTCTTACAATCAACTTGTTCCTTAACATTTCTACGTTAAGCAATTCACTTTTAATTTTATTTTTGGGTTTTTGTGTTTCTTTCATGAATATTGGCAATACATACAACATTCGCTGTTTACGAGAAGATTATACACGGCATTTAGGGAAATTAATGAGCTTATAATTACTGATTTTTATCGCATTGCTCCTCCTATATCGCAATACAAAAGAACATTAACAATTTAATTGGTGTAGCGATATTCAAGTTAAGGCAACCGTTCGTTTGGGAATGGGATATCCCTTTTTGAACACACCCTTTCGGAATGTTAGTTCGTTAGCTTTTCCAGGTGATGCGAATAAAGGTAGGATTTTAAAAAAAATTGAGTTGCAAACCAATTCCAACTATGTACTATATGTATGTATGAATAATATTATAAATTTTCGAATCTAAATCAATCAATTGAATTAATGAAAGGGTGATTTATCATATCAACTTTCTGGTGGTCTAAGCTCACATATCCAAAAAAAACTGAACTTAATTTCAATGGGATTATTCATGAATAGAAACATAAAATATTTTGCGTTAAACGGCGAAAAGAAAACAGGTATTTCTGGAACTAATTTTTGTTTTGCTCATTTTGGATTTAGTCTACTTATAACTTCATGTATGTTTTTAATTACTACTGTTATGTTATTATGTTGATCAAATCCAGCTCTAAAATAAATCGGTGAAGGGTATTATTGCTTCGGGCAATTCAAAAGTTACGATTTTTCTCGTTTTATTTCCTGTTAACTTTCGACTGCGAATTAACCATCAAGCTGGTAGTTAGGCAGCCCGCTCTCTGTACTCAGGAAAGAAGATTGAATTAAACTAACTTTGACGTCATATGTTGCAAGTCCACTTTTTTGTTTGCCTGATGCGCCCTTTGCCGCTGCTTCTGTTGCTGCTGACAGCGCAAGCGATGACGCTGACTTTCATGGTCAAGTTCATGAAGCTCATTGTTGTTGCTCGTACGGTATAGAATTTCCAGCTGCTTCTTCAAGTGTATGTGTACGAGTGGGTCTTGATTCCGTAATGAGAATTATCAGGGCCCAGCCTCTTGTTGCAAATGCCACAGACTCAGTTTACTTTCACTGCAAGTGCACGCGAATTGCAATCGCTACAAAGAGATTAAATAAGAAGGAAAAAATACCATCAACTACCCGTACCCGTACTCGTACGATGCGTGATGCGGTCACTTCTTCATAGTAGAACTGACAAATCGGGCGTGTGCCTGTCAAATGCCACCGAAAGCGTCAGATATTTGAATTGGCATAAAGACAGGGATTATTATGTGCATGTTATATTGGAACTTTGCGCCCAAAGGAGTCTTGCACATGAGATTTGGCGTTTGAGTTTGATAATCTGTGGACTGGCCAGTGTCTGCCTCATCACCCGAAATGTATGTACAGACCTGAGTTGTGTGAGTGTGATTGTGCGTTTGCTGCTTAAATGCTTAAGCTAAGCCGAGTCGGGCCAATCGGATGGCCGTCGTTATGGGCTCGGCAATGCGTAAACTTTCACCAAAAATAATGTTGTGTTTTCAAGCGACCCGCTGAAAATTTTAAAATCCAAACAAACGAACAAAAAATACGCAGACAACGCAGCGTTGCATTTGCCAGTAAAGCAGTCAGTCGACCACAAAAGAGCTGAAAAACAAAGGCCCATTTGACCAGTGCACTTGGCCATTTCTCCCTTTTATATAGAGCCCCATATACATACAAGTACATACAAACACCCATGTATTCGTATACCAATGAGCGCTAGAGAAATTGAACGCTTACTTTCTTTAGAAAAGTGCAATAGGGGCGCTGAAATGTGAATATAATGGCTCTAAATCGTTAGTTTTTAAGTTCATATCACCATTTACTCTCTTCCTAGACTCTCCCAACTGTAATTAGTTTATACAAAGCTAGTTTTTCAAGTTACATAACAATAGGTAGTTTTGGAATTGGCTTTGAATTGGATAGAAAAAGCGTACCAATAAATATTGACGAAATGAATGCAGTAAAATCTGTGTTGAACGAACGCATATACCCGATAGATAGATGTTTTCTTGATTCAATCAAATACATATGTACTCTAACTCTATCCCAATTGTGTGAGAATAGATCGAGAAGTACGAGTGGCAAAATAATTCAAGTGATTTCTTATCGGTCCTATTGGGTTGCGTGTTTTTTTTTTATGAAATACCTGAATAATAGTTATGTTGTGCAGTCAATACGTTGTTCAACAAATTACATTTTTTTTAGAATTACTCTAACTCCATCCCAATTGTATGAAAATAGATCGAGAAGTACGAGTGGGTTGGGTATTTAATGTTTATGAAATACCTGAATAATAGTTATGTTGTGCAGTCAATGTTTAACAGTTGTTTAACAAATTAAATTTTTTTTTATAATCTCACTGAAATACCCGCCGTCTTTGAACATTAATTGTGTGCCATTAAAAAAGCCTTGTTATTTTAAAAATAAATAAATATTTGACACTATTCCGATTACTTATAACATTGCGACATGCATAACAACTGTCCCACTGAAATTTAAAAGATCAATAATTAAAAAATTGGTGAAACTTTTTCCAAATCATTTTAAATCATGAAACAAGCTTCTAGTGATAATTGTATATCTCGTGGCGTAGTCCCAGAATGGTGTACTCGATTTAAGAATGGTCGTGATGACTAGGATTTTGAACATCCATAATTCGTGGTTAAATTAATTAATTAAATGAATTGAGAACCCATTAAAATTTCAAATCAAATCAAAGAATGCGATTAGCATTTAATACGAACAATTCGGTCTGGTTTTGGTGTGTTCCGCACAAGCTGACATACGAATACATACAACTGCTTTTTTGACAATAACAACTCACCGTATTCTTAATTAATTAATGTTTATCTAATCTAATCTAATAGCTTATTCAATGTTATTTTTACATTTAACAAATAATTTACATTTACAATAACAAAAATCCTTTATGAAAAGAAATGAAATATGAAGAATTCTATTGCAATTATTATTATTAATTGTTGCAAATAAATTCACCATATTCACTGAGTAATTTTATGATGTGATGTTTTTACGCGTGAATCAGGCATTGATGATTAGTGAGAATTATTGCCAGCTGTGCAGATTATTTATTTAAATGTGAACAATCTTATTTTGAATGCTTTGACGCTTTTAGACATTCACTTTTCAGCATCACTTATGTTAGTCATAAGGTTTCGAGATCAGCTCGAATGCATCTTGAAAATTGTGCTGAAGACAAATTCGGCGGGAAAGCTTTAATTTGAAAATGTTGACTAAGTTTTTATCAGAAGTCCAAGTGCTCCGGGGTCGTTCGAGGGTAACAAACGAGCTTACCATGCTGATTCCTTTTACAGAGGCTGATCTGTAGTCGGCGCCATTAGTATTGACAATTAGCATCGAACACAATGAAAGCGCAAGCGACCATCCAGCTGCAACTTGTTGCATACACACTTCCACACACACATCAGCAAGCCGTAGTCGCGCCCATTACGGTAAGCTTCAACAGAGGCACCAACTGCCACTGTCCACTCCGTGTGCTTGTTTGTTGGTTTGTTTGTTGGTTTGTTTGTTGATAAGCCACTTTCGAATGCGCAGTCTGCAGGTAGTTGTTGATGTTGATCACGTTGTCTTCGTCGTCGCTGGTCGATGGTCGCTGGTTGTTGGATGGTTGGATAGTTGGTAGTTGGTTGGCTTTTGTCGCGTCTAGCCACAGTGCGCATCGCCACAAATGAAATTCAGTCGCAACGCAGACGTCAAAGGGAAAACACAAGAGCGCAATCGCGATGCCAAATGGATAATAATAATATTAATCACAACAACGACAACAACAACAACAGCAGAAACGGCAATAGCAACTACAATTGAAGGCTATTAAAAAGCCGTGAAAGTAGATGGTTCGGTGGTGGTCAAAAGCTACAACAACAACAACAACACAAACAACCATTTTGACGCCTGCCGGCCGAGTTCAATGCAAAAACTCGCCGCACATAATTGTAGAAAATCGAAAGCGTTCCATAATTTCGTAATTGCATCATGTACAAGCACACGGTAAAGTCGAAATTGGCGCAGTCGCAAGCGCAATCGCAATCGCGCGGAGCGAACGCGATCCGCCAAACCGGCAATCCGAAAACTCCCAGCAGCAGCAGCAACAACAACAACAACAACAGTGCAGTCCACACTGTAGGTGCTGGCAGGAAGTTCTTCTCGCACATACGTCACAAAATTGAGGATAACCTAACGCCTAGGCTGACGAGCAGACTCTATTACAAGGGCAGCAAACATGCACGCTCCCTCAATGCGCTCAGCATGGTCGACAGCGAGTCGATCAATGGCAAGTATACGTCCAAGGCCGTGACTGAGTCGCTGAGTCACACGCAGAAAGTGGCATCCACTAGTGCCCAAAACTCGGCCTGCTATCCCGATAGCGATGAAGACGAGAATCCTTACAGCTTGAGCATGAGTCTGGCCCAACAATCGCTGGAGGATGAAATATTTGCCGAGCTTGAGAAAGTGGCGCACGATGAAAGCAAATTGAAAGCCGTGCTGAAAAGTTTCGATCAAATACTAAACGACTATCCGACTGGCGAAGAAAGCGAAAGTGTTGCCGTCGCAGCTCAGCAACAACAAGTTTGGGCAGACGAGGCACCCGAGGCACCTGAGGCGTCCGAGGAACTGTTGCTGCCAGCACCGCCAGCAACATTTTGTGATACCCCACCGACAACACCACAAATGTTGCCCAAATCGCAGAGCATGCTCAGCATTAACCAGCGTCCGATTACCCGTCAGATCTATCAGACACCTGAGTTGGCCACCTCCCTGTTGCAGGTGCACAAATCATCGTCCAGCCGCTATAACTCATTGTCCGAGCTGAGTCAGCTAAGTGGTAGTCGCATACCCATTTCTAAGCACTCGAGCTTACGTAAGCGTAGTGAGAGTTTTTGTCTGGCCGATAAAGCAAACAATCAACCCATGAGATCTTCGAGCATGCTGGCATTAAGCTCTGCGAGCTTCAAAACAATCAGCGATAGACCGTTGATAGAGCCCAAAAGATCAAACTCAACACTGGATTCGAGAACATTGACCAATACAAGACCAACCAAGCGTTCCAAGAGAACGACCTCCGTCGCTAAGCAGCCCAACAATGGGGACTTGCTGGTGAAATGTTTGGCCAAGGGTCATGAGATCTTACGGAAAGTCGAGAACCTCAATACGAAATCACCGCGCGGTCGACAAAGTCGCGTCTATAAGGAGTACTCTTCCAGTCTGGCTCGCAAGAAGCAGCTGCAAAAACTGCACTATGCCAATGAGGAAAAACTGAAGCAGCTGCAATTAGAGTCCTGCAGGATAATTCCGCCCAGACTGGGTGAGACCTCCGATAAGCATTACGAGCTGCTCGTAAAGGTTGTGCAACAAAAACGACAGCAGCAGTCCCAGCCAGCCACAATTCACAAGAAATGTGCTCTGCAAGAACTGGAAGATGACTCCGATGATTCGGGTCATATATCAAATGCAGTAATGTCTGCCAATCCCTCCATAGATAGTGGAAGCTATTGCGAATCAGATGGCGAAAATGATGTTAGCAACACAACGGCGGGAGGCAGAAGCTGTAAGTCCACCAAAATAGCCGAGCTGTTACAAAAGTTCGAGTTAAAGGCGGCCGAAGCAGCTACCGCGCAGATATCCACCCACAAAAAGCACCCTGCACTGAGCACCTGTACAGCAACGATGGTCGCCGAGGTGGAACCCGTGCGTCGCATACAGACCCAGATAGAAATCTATCCCACGTATATGAAAGAGGTAACAATGCAGCTTTCTTAGATAGAGCTGCAGGTGCTTGGCCATTTTAGGGGCGTTGGCGTTCCAAATATCAGAATATCGTAACAATCCCCTTCTTCTGTAATTATACTTATTAACTTAAACAAATATTTATCTAATATAAATTTATGCATATAAATAAATATACCATTTACAATAATTGGCTTGCTTTGTTTTGCTGTTTGTACAAGTATACCCTGATTTATCCTCCTCCTGCCATTTCCAATTTTAACAACTGGGTTTGGCGCACGCTTTTTACAGTTTTCCCCAATTTTCCCTCATTCATAGAAATACATATTTGTAGATACCGAAAAATGCAGTTTTTTCTCAGTCCGTAGATAATTGCCATTTGAGGCAGTTGTTAACTCGTCGCCATTTCACAATTGGATACTTTCATTTCTGTGTACGTGTTGCGAATGAATAATTTGGAATTGTCTCTCGACAATGCCGCGAACTTGGCGACAGGGAGACACACCTGAGAAATACTCGGGCCAAAGCGTCTATTTGCCTTTCCCGTGCATACCTACGGAGCGTTAGTCTTTGCTCGCATACATGCCCACCTATGCCAAGATACATTCGTTTGCCGTTCCTATAGTTTTCTGGAACCGAGGTGTTGAGTGTGTTCTCGTATTAGATCGATAACTCAGAAAGCGCTGCCGCCTATCAGCCCCCGAATGGGGTCACCGAAATTTATGACATCCATTCATAATGCATCCTAATATGAAGTAACCATGCTAATTTAACGGGCACTTCATTAATCTATTAATTAAATAAATGTATGTCTGAGTGGAGCTGGCACCCCTGAAGCAACCAACAACCCCACTTGATGGTGTGGAATACAAGAATTTGGGGTATACCAAAAGACCTAATGTAATGGATAATGTTTCTTAAAGTATGCACCTTAGCTAGTTTCGAAAGCAAGAAGGGCTACATGGTGTTTCTGCAAATTGTGCTTGCTAATATTTCTTAGAATCAACCGATTGGGAATTTGAAACAAAAGTAGAAAATTATATAGCAATTACGAGAGCAAAGCTTGGCTTATGGATATTAGGAGATACGATGTTTCGTTAAATAGTTTCCGTAATCTGGATATGGCTGTATCTATTTCTATTGTCCTGCTGGTTGAGAATACATATAATTTATGGGGTCGGAGATGCTTAATTCTCCCTGTTACATACCTTGGACAAATCTAATGTACCCTTTTTATGCTTCGGGTACAGGGTATACAAATAAACCTAGCCACTACATTGTATCTTTTTTTTTTGGGGAATTTGGAATTTAAGTTCCCAAAAGCCAATTACTTCAATCTTGAAAATCTTTGCAGTTAGTAAGTGTGTAAGTGAACGACTTACCTTAATACGAATATATATTTTACAAATTCCAGATTCTCTTCCGCTCGGGCGTATTAAATGAGCTTGAGGCCAAACGAGATGTTTTATTATCCGATCGCATTATACAGCTGCAGGCCTTCTGTCGTGGATATTTGGCACGCAAAAAAATGTCACAGCGACGCGTACAAGTGAGTTTGAATGCAGATCTCCAACGATACAGTCAATTAAAAATAAAAATGTGATCAAATTAAATAGGAACTTGCGGTACGCTGCATTCAACGCAATGTGAAGGCATTTTTGGCGGTACGTGATTGGCCTTGGTGGCGTTTGTTGGTCCGAGTGACTCCGCTCCTCAACGTCCATCGGACCGAAGAGCAACTAAAGACGGCAAACGAGGAGCTGCTCATGCTGCGTGCCAAGCTGGAGAAAATCGAATGCGATCGCGGTGAACTGAAGGCAGACAATCAAAAATTGGAAGCTAAGGTAAGCCTAATATTCAAAAATAACAAATTATGTATTGCCACACCATTGTATTTTGTTTACATATATAAATCTTGATGCAACAAATTAAATCAACAGTTGTGCGGTGTGAATTACAAATAGTTTCAGGGCACCATCTCACTAGACACTCTAAATGATAGTAGGCTGTTGTCTGAGCTAGAAAATCGACAATAATGTTACCAGTTTTGGATTGCACGATCTTTCATGCTTACAGAATACTGTATCGAAATTCAATAGTGAAAAATAAGTACAGGCACGTACAAGAAGTACAGTAAGCTATAACGACAAAAAAAAAAAAACTGAATAAGATGTCTAGAGAATTTTTATAACAGAAGTTTCAGTCCTTCAAATACAACTTTTTAGGCTGACTAAGACTGTAGACTATAGAGTAATAAACAACAGCATTACCCCATAAATAGTAATTTTTTCTTCGATTCTGTCAATAACAACTCATCAAATCATAAGATTATGCTAGGTTGGTGATAAGACAGGTCTGAGTATGGATGAGACAATTCTACAAGTAAGTACATGCAAAGTTTGGTATTTCTTATTGTTTTTGTTCAAAAGTTCTCGATGTTCATATGGACGGATCTATTTCTATATGTGTTGTTATACTCCCCATTTACGAATATGTTCGCGATTATATGTTTTGATGTTCTTTCAATGCGGGGCTTATCATGCCTTATTCTGTCTGTCATTCTGTAGAAGCGTATTAGGGAATTGTTCAGATTTTGTAAGAACCGCCTGCTCGTCAGTCTGTCAATCGAAAGTTGATAAACATGTTTTCCGAAGTTTGGCACTCTACCACTAGAGATTTAGATATTTACTTCCGTCATTATTCTAATTTCGTTTTATTCACATTTTATTGAAAGACGCATTTATCCATGTATTAAGCTTTACCTTATAGAAGTTATAGTCGGAAATGCAATCTTAGCCTAAGCTCAGCCAGAACCTATTGTTTTCGATGAAAGAATCTATGTGTATAATGAGAACATACTCTGTACACACATGCATACATAGACATACATATGTATGTAGAACTATATATTTATTATTGTACCAAATAGCATGTAGTTCTTGAATAAATTCTATAACATCCAGGAAGCAGAGTACCTTACCTACAAAGTATATATACTTGTACTTGATCAGTTTGATGGCATGCAAATGTCTGGAAAATGACAGGAGTTCCTCCTCTCTCTCTCCTCTATAAACTAAATCATTAAGTTCCCGCATACGTAGAGCATGAGAATAAAGAGTCTATAGTCTAAGCCTTCGGGTACCATTTCTTTTAAAATGAGATACTATTATGTTTGGTAATTTTCTAATACTTTGGGATTGAATTCGCAAACCATTCAAGAGCAAATAGGAACTCTCCTAAATTTTAGAGCTGATTAATGTTGGATTGGCAACAGACAATATTTTTAACGATTAGACTTTTCCAAAACATGTATAAAGCCAAAAACATTGCTCAATTAAAATGGTTCTAGGATGGCGAAATATTATCACTTGATTTCCAAAATGACAACGCGCGCCTATTTATCAAGCGAACCGCTAACATATGCATATATGTACTCGTATTTCAGAATGTGTTACGTGCACATAATATTGCTCTATTGTGCTCCATAAAATAAATATGTGTATAAGTATGTACATATGTATGTATGCACGCAGGCGAAATGCTAAGATGAAACGGAACGGACACTGGGTAAATGACTTATGTACATGCAGATATACCTACTATATACTCAGAGCACTGCGAAATCTGTGGCTTTTGTTGTAAATTAAAAATAGTACATGCAGTGCGTGCGTCCATTGAACACACGCAATAATGGAGACTCTTCTGAATGATATCAATGATCATGAAGACTTGAGGACTATATTGATGGTATGTTCCGGCAGTTGAGTTCTGTCTGTTGCACACTCGTATGCTGTCTTCTATTTGGGTCTATAGGTCGTTAGCTGTTTAGAATAGTAACATTGATCGTATGGGAATAAAGTGATATGTGTATGTTATGCTACTATTGGCATGTGCTTTGAAGCATTTTGGCTCTCTCCCATGAACGCAAAGTGCTTTAAAACTTAGTGGCAGCGAGGGAAAATAAACGAGCTTTTCTCAGCGCCCGGCCACGCACAAGTGGGCCGCTGCCATATGCCACTGGCGATGATTTGGATTCTTGGTTCAGTTGTCGAGCAATCGCCGCGAGCGCTTGAGGCTGGCGCTGTGCAGCCGAACGGTCGACCGCGTGATATTTTGACCGAGACGCGTAAAATTCTATTGAAATCTGGCCAAAAGAGTTGTGCCGAACACAAGAAAAATCAACTAAAATATATCTTTAGACGACGTTTGGCCATTTGATGCGCGCATGTTAAGCATAAATAGCATTTGAAAGGCGAATGCTGCTTGTGATAAATTTAAAATTGCAACAGCGGTTTCAGGTTTTTGACAGCATATAATCCCCGGCATCAGTGCTCATTTATATTACGAAATACAAAACGAAAAATTCGATAAACGAAAGAACAAAATTTTTAGAATACGATTGAATTGGCTGAACACAAAAAACTTTGCACACGACCAAATCCCAGACTCACGCTCATCTAACCCGCTTTGCATTTCTAACCCCATAATGGCCCCTTTAGCTCCACCCGCTAATGCAAGCCCTGCTGATATTGCAGTTGAAACCGTCGAAAAACCTGATGGCCAAATGAAAAGTGCAGATCAGGATGCAGAGTTTGTAGCACGCGTTTTAGCAACAATGAACGGCACACGCACCAGACTACCACTCAGTGGTGGCGGTAGTGGTGGCAAGAACTACAACACAACCAACAGCAGTGGCAGCGGCAGCGGCTCCTCCCTCAATTCACTGCGCAGCAATGCCAGTTCGTTCACCGAAACCCAAAAGCCTCCCAAACCACCCACAAGTCAGGCGCGAAAGCAGTTACGTTTACTGCCCAAACAACGGGAACAGAGTCCAGTGTTGAGTAATGGTTACACATTGAATACTTCTAAACGCCTTACCAGCACTTTGAACAACACACGCTCCTCTTCCGCGACTTGCAATGGTAATAGTTCTCCCACAATTGGAGATCCCGAAAGCTCCTATGAGATCTCGCTGAAACTGCCTTTGCTTCCCAATGCAGATACAAATAATACGGAACGGTTGCGCATGACAACACGATCGCCTAGTCCTGCCTATTCGGTTTCTTCGCGTTGTTCCACACTGTCGTCAGTTACGTCTGCATCATCGCGTTTTTCACGCCTGCAAACCCCACCTCGTCGCGTCTTCCCGCAAAGCTATGCGCCTGGCAATTCAACAGACGCCTATGAAATGCGTAATCTAGAAAGCTCTCCCGTGGTATTCGACGCCAATCTGTCGTTTGTGCTCGGCTGCAAAAAGCAGCCTGTGCATCAGAGTCTGCGTGCATCGCCCTCCTTTGAGGATCCACGCACCGCGTCGGCCCATTTAAGTGAAAAGATTCAGAACTTCCTCAATCGCACGGATCATGTGCAAGAGGAATGGAAGGCCATGGGCAGAAGATCCCGGCAAAAGAATAGTAGTGGCTTGGATAGCGGACGCACTACGCCCACCAATTCGCTTTACGATGATTATGATACGATCTCTTTGATTGAGCGACAACGTCAACGCGCTAGCATGGAACGCTGTGGTTCCGTGGGTCGATCCCGATCCACCCAGAACATTCTGACCAAGGCGTTTCAATTGTCCAAGCAACTGCCACGCATGTCGACCTCGCGCTCAAATTCACTGGCCCGTGAATTCTCAAATGCCACAACAGCCGATAATGACGATGATGATGATCGTACTATACATGAAGATGACAATGAACTAGATGAGGTAGGGCTAGCCTTGGGCTCGTAATAGGTTGTACCAATATGAGTTTTCGCTTTCCATGTCTCGCACGATTTATGTCACCTGTATATGCATTTATAAGACAAACATATGGTCGATGCCGCCGGCCTAAATTCCTAAAATCCATAATGTCGACCTTGACAGCGACAACATCGACCAACAGCCTCAAATAAAACGTTTAAGTATAGAAGTTTTTTATTTTTAGCCTCTTACTGCGTGTGAATCACTCGGCAAATTCCAATTCTTTCGTTTACCCCAGAATCGGGGCACTCCAAAACCATAATTTTTATTTTCGATTAGTTTATACGATGCAAAAAAGATAAAAACTATTATCCAAGTTGAATTTATTTCGTTATACGTACGAGTAGTAGTTAGTTTATTTTGGCAATAATATAAATTCAATTTGAATTATTAAATGGAATATTTTACTCGTACATGTGCATATGCATATATATATATACATATATAAAGATATATATGTTGCATATCTAATAAGCTGAATTTCAGACACACAAGCACGTACTGTGTGTAAACATTTTTGGATTCTGTATCGAAATATTTGTTTATATTAATGTGGCAATAAATAAAATAGAAAAGAAATTGGTGCAAATTTCATAAACAATGTCTGTTGAACCGGCACAAATGAAATCTATAACTGCCCGAATAATCTTAAAAACATATGTATTTGCAGTTGTCAGAGCTAACAGTCGATTTAGCTGAGGAACGGTCCACGGCGCATATTGCAACCGAACGCCTCGAAGCCGAATCAGCCGAGCGCTTAAAGCTCGAAAAGGAACTGGACGAGCAGCAGACAAAGGTAAAGAATCTGCAGGAAACAAGCGAGAAGTTGGAAATGGAGCTCATTTGTGCTAAGTCCGATTTAACCGGCATATCTGAGGATGAGGATGCGGATAATGAGGAGGGCAGCGGTGGAGTCTATAAATTGAAATATGAACGTGTGGCCAGAGAATTAGAATTCACCAAACGTCGCCTGCAAACTCAACACGAACACGATCTGGAACAGTTGATCGGTCTCAAGAAACAGTTAGAGAAGAAGGTACGTTCTTACTAATAAATATTTAAATATTAAACCCATCACAATTATTCACCAATATCGCAGCTGGCTGATGCCTACGAGGAAGTGGAGGAACAGCGTCAAATAGTTGGGCAATGGAAACGCAAGGCTCAGAAGATGACGAATGAAATGAATGATTTGCGTATGCTGTTGGAAGAACAAAACGCTCGCAATAATTTGCTCGAGAAGAAGCAACGCAAATTCGATGTCGAGTGCCAGTCCCTGCAGGATGCGGCCCGACAGGAGCGACAGGCTAAAGAGCGCTACGGCCGCGAGAAGGACGTACTGCAGGCAGAGAAGTTCACGCTTGAACAATCATTGGCAGTAAGTTAAGCGTACAAACAAATATAGCAACAAGTACGAGTACCTTATCTAAGCAGCCAGAGCTCAGCGCTCGGGTTTCTCTAGAAACTCGTTTGCTGGCCCGCTCTCTTGTGCATTTACGACTTTGCGTCTATTTACCTGCCCTCGGAGAAGATGCAGCCCGTTTCTTTCCCACACACTGCCCGCATACGAAAGGTTCAATGTATTTTCGGGGTTTCTTTTTATCTACTCGTACTTATTTCGTATCTTCATTGTGCTGCATTTCTTTTTACACTTTGTTACATGGCTTCTATTCATTATCGTTCTTCGTTTCATTTTCTTGTTCACATTCGTTGTGTTAGACATACGGCAGTACGAGTATCTACAGTTAATTTTAAGACAAAACTTCTTTAAATGTACGAAAAGTTGCCTATAAATAAGATAATATATTTTACTTTTGTTATATAATTACGTACCATTGCTAAAATTATATGTAAATAGGTGTTTTAAAAGGCATACGTGTCGTATGGTGTTGAAGCAATGTTATTTGTTATGTTGGGAGCAACACGTGCATAGGGAAATATTTTCTAACAAACGAGACTTTTCAATTTGCAGGATACTCGCTTGGACCTCGATTTGAAGGAGGAAAAATTAGCCTCGCTGCAACGAGAACTTGAGGAAATGACTTTTGGCGGTGGCACTGAAGAGGAATTCGCTCAGCTGCGTCGCTCCAAAAACGAAGCCGAGCGACGCGTTAAGGAACAAGATGAGGAACTCGATGGACTCTCTGGGCAAATAATGCTCCTAGAGCAGGCCAAGCTGCGCCTGGAAATGACCCTTGAAACCATGCGAAAGGAGGCGCGTCGTGAGTCCCAACAACGCGATGAAGAGCTGGAAGAGGTTCGCGGCAATAGCTACAAGAAGATAAGAGCACTCGAAGAGGAACGCGAGCGTGAACATGAAGAGCGCACCATGCTGCTCCGAGAAAAACATGAGCTGGAGCGTCGTCTATCTTCCATGGAGGATCGTGATCGTGTAGAGCGTGATGCCGAGGAGGCGCTGAATCAGAAGCTGCGGCGTGACTTGCGCAAATACAAGGCATTGCTAAAAGATGCGCAGACGCAGCTGCAACGTTTGAAGGCCGATACGCCCGGCAAGACGCTAATACGTCAGTTGCGCAATCAGCTCGAAGATGCCGAATCGGCACGTCAACTGCAATTGAAGGCTCGCCAAACAGCCGAGGCCGAACTGGCGGAAGTGCAGGCCATGTTTGACGAATCTCATCGTGCTCGTAACGATGCTGAGGAACGCGCGAATGCGGCGCAACGCGATCGTGCCGAGTTGCAAGCCCAAATCGAGGAGAACGAGGAAGAACTGGGAGAGCTGATGAAGAAATATAGCGCAACAGTTAAGCAACTAAATACCGAACAAATAAATGTGTCGGAATATGAATTTAAACTGACCGAAATAGAAGCAGAGCGTAATAATCTTAAAGAGCAGGTGGCCGAGCTGCAGCACAGGCTGGACAATGTGGAAAGCATGGGTGATCCATCCATGGCCATGATGTCGAAACGGTATACATATATATAGCTTGATTTTTGCAATCCCGTTTAACTTATTTTTTTCCGTATATAACAACCTAATAGCTTGGAATTGCGAACTAAGGAGCTCGAGTCCCGGCTTGAACTGGAGCAGGCTACGCGGGCACGTCTCGAGGTGCAAGTCAATCGTCACAAAGAAGCTCTGGAGAAGTTACAAAACGAAATGAGCCAGTCGAAGATGCGGGAAATGCAAGCACAAGATGTTCTCAAGAAATCACAGAAGAACTTGCGGGAAATGCGTGAGGAGTATCATGAGAGTAAGACCCGTGAACAGGAGTCCCTAATCAAGCGCAAGGACTTGGAAAAGAAAATTGAGCAGCTGGAGTCGGAGGGTACTGCGCTTAAAAACGATTTGCGTCTGGCCCTACAGCGCATAGCCGATTTGCAGCAGGCTATGGAGGAGGATGGGGAAGAGGAACTGAGCGAGAGGTACGTATTGGAACTGTACTAATTCTGAGAAAGTTACTGATCTATTGGCATTGTCGATCAACAGCGATGACAGCCTCAGTTCCGTAGGCTCCATAGCCGATTTGGAGGAACGTCTGCGCCCCATTCAGGTGAAACGTAACTCACAGCACTCGTTTAACGGTGGTGGTGTGGGTGGCAATGAGAGCCTGATCAGCACCACCCGCACCTTGGTCTGTGAAAAAGATGACAACAGTCCTAGGTATGTCCTAAAGCAAGAAAAAGAAGCTAGTAATGAAGTCAACTTTAACAAGCAGCACAAACATTAAGCACCACAAATTGTAGATAGCTAGCTTATAAGCTCTGTTTGCCATTTGCCGGCTTTTCTAATTTACATACCTTACTTCATACATGCAACCCACATCCAAAACTGTACCCCAAACCCCTAACCCGCAACCACCAACCCCACCGACGACATCAACAAAAATCAAATTAAATCAAAACCACTGCCCTCCCTAACCGTACATCCACCACCCCATCCGCATATCCGCATAATGATACATAACTTTACTCATAAACACATACCAAAATGCTTGTAAATATGTTTATGCATATGTCCACCCGCTTTCCGTTGCCCGCTCCTCCCATCGAGTCTCTCTCTCTCTCTGTGTGTGTGTGTGCGTGTACACCATAGCTTCTTCTTATTATAAACAGAATAACAGTTACGTCGCCATCGTCACCACATATACACAAGCTGGCAGTGGCGGCCAAAGCCATACCGGACCCAAAATCGGGCACAGCATCAGCGAAAAGTTTGCAGAATGGTGAAGGCGCCTGATTCTATTGATTAACTAGTAGGATCGTAGGATGATGATGGGGGCGCACATGAACGCGGCAGCTGAAGATTGTATTTTTTTCAATTATTTATTAGCTTTTTACTAGTTTTTAGTTGAATATGTTTAACTATTTATTATCAAACTAGCAAGATATAACTATAATAAACTAAATATACATATTAATATATATATATATATATACATATATACCTATTATTATAAAAACATCTTCTATAGGATGTCTTATAACACAACTTATACTTAATTGGCAAATTGTTTAAAAACGAGAAAAAGATGAGAACGTAGATAATTTAATTTCTGTGACACAGACGATGAATATTTTACGAATACTATATACACAAGAAATTGTCCTTTAACTATCTGGCAAAATGCTACTTATCCTATATAGCCAACATTTATTAAATGAATTAGACGCATTTGAAACTCATTCGAGAAGTGTGCAACAATATCATATGAAACAATATAATGTGCAACTTTTATATGCAATACTTACTCGTAAGTATTTTATACGAAACTTTCTTATATTAGCGGGGGAAATTCTTTCTAAAGGAATATTTGTACGGAAACTCTACTCAACAAAACTAAACATGAGCACACCCAAAATAGCAAAAGAAATCCATATGCAAAATAAAAATCGTAACATACATATTGTTATAAAACTCCAAAATCGACTTTGTTTATTTACGAGTATTTTCCCAGTAGCAGTGAGAGTCGTTTCATTTCAGTTGTGTGGGTAAAGGTCAAGGTCAAAAGTGCAAGACGTGACCGACACACACCCACAATGCCAAGAAAGTGGCGGCTTTTCGCAGCCATCGGTGACGTAGAGATGACTTTGAAAGATTGCGCCACCCACAGTTCTCACAAAATATGTAAATGCTTCTTAAGCACGGAAATGTCTGCGTGGCCATTGAGAGCATTCACGGGCACCAGATGTGTGTCAAATTGACGAAATACTCGTATTAATGGAAATCGGGCAGGTGCCATACATGCGCTTACCTGCCGAAGAAAGTTCGAAAACAACGGTGCATTGCATTGACGGTAGTCAAGGAGCCGTCAAGTGACGCAACAAGTGTTGGCCGGGAAAGTTTTACGAGGAGCGTGTCGTGTCAGTCCAACTGAACCCAAAACAACAACCGTCAACTAGGCGACTGTCAACTGGCGATTGAGAAATATCGACCAAACAATCAAACGTGTACTATGTAGAATTTGAACTATGCGGAGTTTTCAGAGCTGGCGTTTTTTGCGCAGACATATATTTGATTTCGACGAAGGCGGAACGTATCTTCCCGTAAATATAAGTATTCCATAGTTGGATAAAACCAACTAATAGTTGTCAAACATGGATGACCGCACAATAGATTCCATTTTTTCGGGCTCGCTTGAGTCATTGCCGCCGGTTAGCTCCAAAATTGTGCGTATCTTCACCAGCTCGACGTTTACGGGTGGGCAACCGACATCTACAATATATTAGAAATGTGTGGTGTTATGTAACCTGTGTGTGATTTTTGTAGACACGACTATGGAGCGAAATACACTTATGGCCAAGTGCTATCCGAGAATAAAGGACTACTGTCGGGAGAAGCACGGTCTGGAGTTTCAGGTGGTTGACATGCGTTGGGGCGTTCGAGATGAGGCCACGGACGATCATATGACCACAGAGCTGTGCATGCGGGAAATTAAGAATTGCCAACGCTTATCGATGGGTCCCAATTTTATAGTGTTTCTTGGCCAGAAATATGGTTATAGACCCATACCAACCTACATCGTTTCCTCCGAGCTGCAGCTCATTTGTGAGGAGTTGACATCGATGGGCGTCGATCGCGCATTACTTGATCTTTGGTATAAGAAGGACAGCAACGCTGTTCCTCCGATATCGGTACTGCAGCCCATCTCGTCGATATTGATTAATTTCAACAACAAGGTCTGCAAATAATAGCAAAAAGTATATTCGGGTTCTAATCTGCCTGTTGCAGCGTGTTCCCAAACTGCAAGCCGAGGATCAAGCCGTGTGGTGGGACACTCTAAACAAAATGCAGAAGCTGCTGCGTAAGGCAGCTGCTTCACTTGGAGCTAGCAATAAAATGTCCAAGGATGATGTCCATAACTATTTCATGTCTGGTAAGTGGATATTTCAAATTTGTACAACATGGCCAATAGAAAAGATATCAACATGTAGTCACCGAGCGGGAAGTGATTAATGGAATTTTGAATGTGAAAAATACGAAAAATCACTGTCTGGCCTATGTGCGATATATCAACAACATCAATTTACAAAATTTGAAGAAGGCTTCGCTCTTTGTGGACATTATCAATCGTAGTTTGGACACGGAATCGGCTAAGCTGTTGGGGGATCTGCGCGATACGCGCTTACCCAATAAGATGGAGGCCAGCAATTCGCAAAAGTATGTACAAGGTTGTCCACAAATGTGTCATATAGTCGAGATATTTGCAGATATACGGTTGAGTGGATCGGCCGCGAGGGCCTGGACATTGAAACGCACGAGGAATATTTAAATCATTTCATTTCGCATTTCTATAAGAATGTTGTTAAGCTTGTAGATCGGGCCATGCGCAAAGAAGACTCCAGTGCACAGGGGCAGATAGTAACTGAAATCCTTCAGCATTTGCACGCTTGTAACAATTCGGTGAAAATATTTTACGGACGCGAGGAAAGTTGCGAACGTATAAAGCGATATATGCTGGGGGATTCAGATAAGCCACTTGTCCTTTTTGGCGACGGAGGTTGCGGTAAAACTTCATTATTGGCCAAGAGCGCTTCATTGGTGGCAACCGAATGGTTTGCCGATAAGCGACCTATAAATGTTATACGGTTCCTAGGCACCACGCCAGATTCGAGTGCCTTGACAGCTACATTGATTTCGATTTGTCAGCAGGTGATATTAGAGCATCAGAAGCATTTAATACTGTATACTATATGTACATACAACGTCCAATATTCCATATTATCTCCAACTATTCCAAATCGAACAGATATCGTACAACTATATGCTACCCTTTGAGAATATACCAGATGATCTTGTACCTTTAACAGCACATTTTAAGCAATTACTAACTTACGCAAGTGTGAGCCAACCGCTGACCTTATATTTAGATTCAGTTGATCAGTTGACGGGTACTCAAGACTCGAATAAAGTGTCGTGGATACCAACACGCCTTCCACCACATTGTAAGGTGAGTGGTTAGAGGGCAGGACTAGCTGGCTGGGTTAGGAAGCATGACCTTAATGTTTAACTGCATGTTAGATCTCCTTCATCTTTTGCCAAATTCTTGCACTGACAAAATTGCATGGAAATGACGATCTGGCGATTTCTCACACTTTTTGCATGTATTTCCAACACTGTTTTTAAATTAAGCCAATCCGTTATTCATGAGCAATGCAAAATAAATGTGCGTAAGTTCTCCAAATTGCTTGACATGTGCGTGCTAAACAATATCACATCTAACACCAAACATTTTGCATGGCACCCTCACTCAAAACGACTCTACCTACGTGTACGAGCATGTATGTATGTATGTATGTTTGCCGTTATGCATGAGGCAATATTCGAATGTGCCATTGCCCTAGAGGTCTATAAAGCCAATTGGACTGCTTACAGATAATTATTTCGTGTGCAAACGAGCCTGCTAATCCTACGGTTTCGCACGAGTACCACGTCCTCTGCAAAATGATTGACGTTGAGGAGAACTTTATAGAGGTGACTGCCTTGGGCGAGGATCTGGCTATGAATGTCATTAAAATGTGGATGAAGACCGCGTGTCGCGATCTTAACAACTACCAGTGGCGCTTGGTGGCAAATGCAATTAGCAAATGCTCTCTGCCCATATTCGTAAAGCTGGTCTTTGCCGAGATATGTCGATGGCGTAGTTATACGCGTCCGCAGGAGACTCATTTAGCCAATACCGTCATGGACTCAATCATGCTCCTGTTCGAACGGGTGGAAAAACAGCACGGTCGTATTTTGGTCTTTCATGCGCTAGCCTATATAACTGCTTCGAAATCGGGATTGTCTGAAAGCGAGCTGGAGGATTTGATCTCATTGGATGACAAAGTTCTAGGTAACTAGTTAAAAACTATCGCATAAGGTGGACTTCATTGTTAAACTTTGATGGAACTATTTTGGAAATTGTTGCTAATACTTTTCATTTGCTCTATCAACCTTACAAAATAATAGACGACGTCTATCAGTATCATATGCCTCCAGTGCGGCGTATCCCGCCATTGTTGTGGACACGTATACGCAACGATTTACCCAACTACCTGAGTGAACGTGAAGCCGATGGGGTAAATGTGATGAATTGGTACCATCGGCAGTTTCGTGACACGGCCAAGGAGCGATATTTTAAGAACATGAATATGGCGATTTATTTTCACTCTATGATTGCAGACTATTATCTTGGTATTTGGGGCGGAGGTATACCAAAACCGTTTAGATTCACAGAAATTCAAAGGCATCGATTTGGCCTGACGGAAAAGGAAGGATCGGCAGACCGGAAAGTGCCAATTCAACCGCTGGTTTTTACAAGTAAAGATGGCCTTTCTAAGCGTTACAATTTGCGGAAGGTAAGATCAAGTTTCTACAATTTTAAACTTGATCTCTTACAGTTTTTAAACCAACAGTTCGGCGAGCTACCATTTCATTTCGTGCGATCGCGTCGCTTTAAGGATCTATTTGAGCACGTGCTCTTTAACTACGACTGGCTGCACGCCAAGCTCTCCAGCTGTCCTTTGCAGGCTGTCCTGGCCGATTTCGAGGATGCCTCGACTAACACTGATGACAAGGAAGCCAAACGTGAGCTTATGCTGGTGGCTGACGCGTTACGCCTAGGTGGGGCCATCTTGGCCATATACCCTAATATGCTGGCACCACAGTTAATAGGTAATAGTATACAATTTATGTTCTTTAACGAGTATATATGAATGAAGTTCTACACCCCCAACATAATTTAGGCCGCTTGTTACCCGAAATTGGGGGTAATCCAAACATAAAAATGTTATTGCGGGCCTGTGACAGCTCTGGACCCAAGGACTGTGCTCTCATACCTGTCAATCATTGCCTGCACACGCCCGGTGGGCCACTCAAGGTTGGAGCTAGGCACAATATTCCATATATAGTATATACCAAGTACATTTCAGTATTCGTTAGAGGGACATCAGTTCGCTGTGTTCGCGTTTTGCTTGACTAGTGACATGCGCTACATGGTCTCCATATCAACGCACTTCATTACCTTTGATTTGTCCACCTCGGACTTAACCCGGGATGTTAACCCGGGCATCGAGGGCATTATGCAGCAACTGGTTCTGAGTCCGGACAACAAATGGGCGGCTGCCTATTCAAATAACAATCAAACAGTCCTCCTCAACATGTTGTCCAGCGAATTTGTGGTGATTAACAGTCCTTTTGAGGAAAATGATGGTCCAGTAAGTGGACTACATCTGCTAAATCAGAAGTATGTTATTGAGGAGTATGTAATAGATTCATGAGATAATCCCTATTCAGTCTGTTTATCACTTGCAAACTACGTTGGGCTCAATTCGATATGCGTGGCAATCTTGTGGATTCACGGGGTGAGTTGCTGGTGAAAAGTGAGATTTTGTAATAAATTGTTCTATATTCTAGAGGTACCTGGCGAGAATAAAGATTGGGAGATATTGAGTAAGAATCGAAAAATTATATGCCTTTAAGGAAATTAATTGGCTTTTTTCACTTCTAGCTATGGAGTTCTTCAGTCCCAAGGACTATAATGTAATATTCTGGTCGGGTTCAATAAATGAAATGCGCCTGCGCCTAAACTCTTGCCGTTCCGGAAACTACTCTAAATCGCAGAATTTCTTCAGCGCTTTGGCCATGAACAAGGCTCGAACCAAAGTTTACGGCTGCGCCAATGAGGAGAACTTTGAGGTGTCCATCTACGAGTTCATAGAGGATGAAGCGAGTGGCGATATACATTGGTCGCTTTTGGGGAGCCTGCCACGCTACGAAAATGACGACAAGGAAATATTATTGCAGCTGAGGTTGGATCAGCACGATCGCATGCTTTTGGGCACTGCTGGCAAGGGGTTTGTCATATGGGACTTCGGCGGTAAGGATCAGGATGGCGCTGAGCAACGTCTAACTGAAGGGGCTATGTATTTGGCGCTCCCACATGGCGTACGTAATATAACCACTCGGATTATGCAATCGAATTCGATTATGGTCAGCTCGAAGCTAGACTATGCAGTCGCGGGGGTGCGTAAAAACCTATACGTGTGGTGCTTGAGCTCAGGCCAATTGGCCAAAGTATTGGATGCCCATTTCGGGCGTATCATACAGCTAGAAGCGTTGACAATTGGAAACTGGAATAATGTCGTTACCTCTTCCATTGATCGATCAGTGAAGGTGTGGAACATAAACAACATATTTGAAAAGGTCCATGTCATAGATCGACATGAGCTGCAAATCGATGATATAAGTCTCTCCGAAGTAGATATCGCAGTCACGGTGACCCGCAGCTGTGTAGGTGTTTGGGAGACACGGTCTGGGCGTCTACTCTCGAAATTAGCAGACAGCCCATTGGGCGCCATTGTGACACATGCAGAGATAACACCCGATGGACGTTACATTATCTCCTCGGAAACGGGTAAATTTTTAGTTTGGAACCGGGTCTCGGAACAGGTGGTTTATCGTGACGACCAACCCGGCATTCAACAAATCACACTTATGGATTATGGCTACAAGGTGCTGACAGTGTCGGTGCCAAACATCAATCAAAGAGATATAATTGCAGCAGCCGGCGAGGAGACGAATCGTTTGACGGCCATCGCAACAGTGCGATCCGTGCCAGGTTTCTTAAAATCCAAATTTATAAAGCTTACATATGTAAATATTTATATTATTGTTTTAGAGGGCACGATTATTTTCCGCTTCGATTTCCCCATTCGTATGGTAACTGGCCTGCCCTTTCGCCAATCGGTTATAACTGCGGATAATGCTAATATCGTAGTGTGCACTGTAGATAAGGCGAACAAGGATTGTCTAGGCGTTTACAGTGCTACGAATGGCTCATTTATATCAAAAGTATTGCTCAAAGGCTGCTCAATGAAGGTATGTTGTTCTTTAGGGATATTCCTTTAGAAGTCATTCGTTCATTGGGCGCCATATTATCGTTTCAGGAAGTGTTTTCCTTAGTGCCTATGCCTCACAAGGCAAACCAGGTAGCTGTGATAAGCAGTGAAAAGGGCAGCATTATGGATATTAAAACGAAGAAGCATGTTCGGTCCATTCCGAAATGGGGCGGTAGCATTACACGGGACGGTAAATGTGGACTCTATGCACCTACCAGGTTAGTATCCCGAATATTGCTGTAAACTAACAAATGATTAGATTGTTTTTGTCGGTTTCTGCAAAATTTTGAAATTTGTTTCCAATACGTAATAAGTTGAAGTTTCAATACCGTTCTCCAATTCCATCCCACATTAAGAATTATAATACAATTTAGTTCATAACGCGAAATTTGACGGTGTCTAAGATATAGATATAGACATATTCTGAAGCTCAAAGTGTAGGCCTTCTTCACACCCCTGAGAATGTGTTAAAAATACAAATTCGTTAGGATTAGGATATTTTCATTTGTTTCAACTTTACCTCCCACTTCATCTCATATTGCTGAAATTGAATAATAATCCTACATAAATAACACAATTTTTATCCTTTACAGAGGTGGCTTGGAGATGCTTGAGCTGCGTAAGGGCACGACCGTCAAGACCTATATACCGAAAGTGGCCGAAGGTGTTTTCTCGGTTATTTGCATATTCACCGAGAACGATGAGTACGTGGCGTACTACCACAGTGGTCGCAAGACCATACGCGTCTTCCGCACCATGGACACTGAAATGATAGCCAACTATCGGTTGCAAGCAGAATTGACGGCTATTAAGAGCAGCAAGGATGGTCGTGCCATAGTTTTGGGAACTGTCGACGGATGTATGTCCGTACTAGCGATTGTAGATCCCAAGAAGGAAGAGATGATTGAGTACTTGAATGCCCTGCCATCGCGCGACATCAATTGGAAATCAAAGCTGGCCAAGATGAAGGCACGTGTGGGCTTTAAGGCCGCCATACGAGTGGCCACGATTTCGTCTCGGTACGCAAGCAAATCGAAGAATGGAGAAGGCGATGAGGAGGAAGTACTTACGGATATTACTGAAGATGTGGTGCCAGTTGCCGAATAGTTCAAAAATAGCTTCGCTGGTATAATTAGAAATATAACATTTATTCTTGCATAAATAATGATGTGGTTACAAAAATACGCCTGTGTGATTGTGATCGTAATGTTAAACAGAATGAAGCCTAAACTAAAAATTGTTAAAAAGAAAACGTTCATGTTTTACGGATAAAATGTTGCTTATCTACGCGTATATATAAATAATAATTTGAGTACATCATGTTACTTTCACATAAACGATTTGCATATTTATGCACTAATGCAGAAACAAGGCACTGAGCCGTGATCTTTGCGCTTCAAACGATTTATCTAACATGGTTTCTTTATAGTGGCAAACATTATTAACCTTACACTATAGACTTGTAACTCGTTGTCACTCAATCCAACTCAACTACAAACAATTAATGAAACGAAAGAGAAAAACAAATTTAATTAACAAGCTGCATTAGGAACATGCAATTAACTCAGTAAATTGAAAAACTCAGTGCAAATACATAATGTAGATATAGTTCTCGAATAATGTAGTGAGGGAGTGAATAGTTGTTGTTGCTTGTTGTTAACAGTTTTTAACTTGTTATTAAACATTACAATTATTTATGTGAATATATGGAGGAGCTTATAAGCAATAATTGGTTAAATAATAAATGGTATATATATTGTATGTATGTATGCAGTTTACACAGCCACCCTAATGGAGCTCGTTGAAATACTTGTCAATATAATATAATAATAAATATTGAACTACAAGTAGTACGCTTTCGCAGCCCAGCCCAGCCCAACTGTTGTGACGCAACATCAACTAAAGAAGAGCGCCGTATAACTATTGGGCATGATTTTCCTTTTTTATTTGCGCCAGTTTTGCCTGTATATGAAGAAGCCGATTTGGCGATAGCTCAGGTTTCTAAAAAAAAGTCAAAAATATAAATAATTTATTTGTATAGGCAATATGGCGTTTGAAGCTTATTTTACCTCTCGCCTTATTAGGGACGCCTTCTGCGAATTTATTGAATTCAAACAGAGATTCTCATCAGCCACTTTATTGTCAAACATATTTGATCCGTCGCCAGTGTGGTGTGATGATAGTTTGCTGCCACCACCGCCTCCACCAGTCAAGTATTGTAGTCGATCCAGCCAGTACTCGGGATCTATTTCGCGTTCGGCATTCTGATAGTTAGCATCTGCGAGATAAGGACGTGTAGCCGCTGTAGTAGTCGAATAAATGTGGGAACCACAAGGTGCATGTTGTTAGGTTTGTTGCCTAATAGGTGTTAGTAGGAAGTGGTCATTCATACAAACCTGTGCGATTATCAGGCTGATTGGAGCCAGAATTTTTGTTGCGTTCAATCTCAGCTAAGCCCTCTTCTATATATTTGTGAAAAGTGGCGCTGGCCCCTTGTAGAAATGAGCTCAAATCAATGTCGGGATTTTGTTGCTACAGATATTTGTAAAAGCATTATAAAACCAAATACTTCATCCGATATCTGTGTACAAACCTTAAAGTCATAAAGCTTTTGCAAGCCTTGCTGTTTGGTATCTTTGTCGGATATCAACTTGAATATTTGCGACACCGTGTCGTGTGTTTGATGCGAAATACGCTTTGAGGATGACTCCTTCGATGTCAGTTGACGCTGCGGGGAAGCGCCAACATTGGCGACGGTGCCATCCTTTTGGAAATTCTAATCATAAAAACTGGTATAACAAATATGGAGTAAATTGATCTCATATCCTGTCGTTCACCTTAAGTATACGTATTAAATAAGTGTGCAGTTCCGAATGCGTTGGTATCTGATTCAGATGCTGCAATATGGCGTTACCCTTCACCTTAGCCATATTGTGTATTATAGTTTTGACCGTTCGCAGTGGCGTATCCGAGGGTCGATTCTGCCACCAGGTGCTGGGCAATGCAAGCATGAATTCATGTACTTCCAAGATGACGGCATCATAGTTCAGCTCGTTCGAGCGTTCAGGCAACATTTTAACATTACGCCAAATGCACTTCATCAGCAGATCCGTGAATTTAGGCAGCCCAGCCACAGGACAGGTCTCACGCAGTAGTCGAATGAGTGCGCTGTAATGGATTCGAGCTTGTTTAGCAAAGTACTAATAACTAGGCAGTAATGTTTTATAGCTCACCAATTTAAATTCGTGAAATTCACTTTGTCCAGCACTTTTAAGCATATTCCGTTGATCACTTTATTGTATTGGCTCTCATCGCTGCTGGTCAACTTCTGATCGGCCATAAGATGCAGCAACGCTGACATGAGATTCTTAATGCAAGCTACACTAAGCGTTTTGCCCAAGGTCTTTGCATGGAAAAATGTGTATAATATGGAAAGCAGTGGTTGATACACAACCAGGGACTCTGATATGGGTATTTGCGAAAGGTTCTGTGGGATACGATTAAAAAATTACATTGCTTATTTATATAAATGTACGGTTTTGGTATCTCACCTTCAATTGTGCCAGCACATTTTGTATAAATATTTCTTCATAGTCCCGCAGAACGGCTTGTTTTTCGGGCGTCTCAATTATTTCCGTTAGCTCGTTAATTGCAGCACGAGCCTTCAGTGTATCAGTGCTGCTAATGGCCTTTATAACCTTTACCAGTTGCGGATCATGCTTGGGCAGGACATCGGCCAAACTGTAAATATTTTTGCATATAAATTAGAACAGACAGTACGCTTAATATGTTAACGTAAGCCTTACTTAGGTCCGACATGGTCCAGCGCGTTTGTGAACTGTTGCTGTTGCTGTTGGATTCTCATGGGACTGCGATACGGCGAAATGCCAGCAGACAGCGTTGAGACTGCTGCCGATGGAGGCGTCGTCATGGTTTGTTGCAGATAATGTTGCCTCGAAATGAGACGATCGAACTTCTCCTGCGGATATTGGACGCCTCCACGTGTAGGTATAACTCTTATAGGTTCGTAGAGCAGCGTTATATCAACAGTAGGTATGTCCTTTTGTGACATTTGATCGGCACGTACCCAGCCTTTTTCGATTTCGGCTATAACATCCGGATCTAGGCCGAAGGGTCCACTTGGTTTCAATTGTTGAACCTGTTGTTGCAGCTGTTGTTGTTGCAGTTGGAGCAGCTGAGTCGACGGCAACTGATCGAACGTTCTGTGAAAATTCAAAATACATACATTTTCGAAACCAAACGAGTCAAAACAACACAATATCTACTCTACTAGTGGGCATATGTATCGTTGTTAACTAATAATTCAATAAATATTTCCGGGGAAATACTCCCGTTTCCAAGATAGATTTTAAATTTTGAGCAATGAACCGTTTTTTAAGTAAATGTTAAGTACAAAACTAAAATTTGTTTGCTTATTGTAAAATCATATGCCAGGCAATCAATTGAAAAGGCTCCTAGATCTATAACAATACATATGCCGACTAAGGCACTATCACAGCGACAACACACAAAGTTCAATTTTGTAAACTAAACAAGAAAGACATTCGCATACAAACATAAAACAATGACAAACATAATGGATATAGCTGTATTTTCACTATATTATGAGCCTATTTTAACATTATTTGTTATATTCTTGATCCAAAGTTTTCTTGAACGCACATTATGAATTTTGAACAACGAATTTTAAAATAGTGAAAACATAACCAGAAACACACATATAGGTTAAATAAAAAATTAAAAGAAATTACGTCTGTCGTTTAAGAGAGTTTAGTAAAGCAGCTAGACCTGTGGCGCTCTGATCCGACAAGTGACTTTGTTGGCGCATAGTCGCTTCTTGCTGGTCACTGAGGTAAAACAAAAAGTGTCAAATGAAACGAAAAAGTCGATAATACTCAATTGTGCACCTTATGAGTCGTCACCCTTTATTAATATCACTGTAAATTTTTTGTCCTGTCCACAAAAACACCAAAACTCACCCTTCATCATCGGGCAATGGAAGCTCATCGCAGCCATTGCTGTTGCCATCTTCGATCTCGATGCTGTCCTGATGCTGGACCATCTGCGAGCTTTGGGGTTTGCTGCTCACTTCTGTGGGCGTCGCAGATGGTTTTTTAGTCTTCTTAGCGCGTTTAATGCGCTCATCTAACATGGACAGATCCTTCTCGTTCAGTTGGCCAATCAACTTATAGATCTTGTCGCCAGCCAGAAAATATGCCTGTACAATGCAATTGAGTGCAGCATTTCGCACTGAATTGTCACGATCCGATATTTGACGTGCAATCTCCTTGAGAGCCACTTGCTGCGACGGTTGACAAATGCCTAAGCCGTAAGATTCGATGAGGAAAGTGAGCTCATCTAGGCATTCGGTGCGTTGACGCGCATTTTTCGACTTCAAACCTTCCATCACGTACGAAAATACTTTCGTGAAGGGGTAGACGAGTATTATCTGACGAAGTACTCGGCGCACACCATTTCGCACTGCATCCTTGGAGTCGCCAATCTGTAAGAGATATTACGAAAATTAAGTTTTCGGTGGTATCATTTTAAAGTTCAGGTATAATTGCCTTTAGCAGCAAATGTGGCACAAAGCTGCTACCCTCGTTTTCCGCCAATATGTATTCTACTTCAACTAGCATCTGGAACACTTGCACTAGATATTCGAGACCCTTAATTAGCACAGAAGGATTCGTATCGTAGAAACGTAGTGTTAGCCACTTAAGGATAAGATCCAGATTGCATATTAAGGCTTTACTGCTGTTGGGCAAATCTTCGCTCAATTGTTCGATGACTTTCAAGTGATACCTGTAAACGAATAAAGATGTGATATATAGGTCATCAGAGTTTCATATAATATAATACCGACCTAAAGTCATCATGAAACATATTGGCCATCAGCGCCTTGTTGACATTGGCTGTTGTCATTTGTTCACGCAGCAGGTCCGTGAACTCCTCACGCGGCGTGGTGAAGGTCCATTTTAGAACACGCATTTTTTGCTCATCGATCAGCCGTTGATTCTTCGTATTGTTCACTGCCAGCAGTGGTGAAGTATCTACTTCCTCTTCCTTTTTGCGCGATTGCGTAGTGGTTTTATCGCTCGCTGCGGCCGCTTTCGCTGGGCCTGCTTTCTGTGCTGCAACGCCACCACCACGCACCACCTTCTTAGTTTCCTCCGGTATGGGGGCCTGTTGCTTGCCTTTGGGCAAAGGTTTGATGGGCATATTTGGTCGCGCCTTGTCAAGAGCAGCTTGTATGTCTTTCTTTGAGGCGGGCTTCTGTTTGTCTAGTGCGCGAACCATCGACTCATACCCCAGATGTATCATAATTCCAAGAACCGCTTCATTAGCATTCTTTCGCACATCGGCGTTGCGATCACATATGTGCGCATATAAGTGTGGCACCATTGAGGCTAACTCTTCCTTGGATATTGATTTGTTCGGCAATGCGGGCAACTTCTCAGCCAGCCAGTTCCAAAGCTCAACCTTAAGTGCCGGCGAGCCAGATTTTAGCGCATCAGCAATCATTTCCGCTTCAAAGAATTCCTTGTAGCCGCCCTTTTCACCGAAGCTGTTAATGCAATTAAGTGCAGCGGCTCGTACAAAACTTTTGTTGTCGCCCAGGGCGTGCAGAAATCCAGGAAATAGGGCACGCACATGAGCCCGACAACCGGAACCCATGGCCGTGGCCAACTGCTCGCATATGGATAATGCAGTCTGTGCTATTTTGGCGTTGGAATCGACTAGACGCTGAGCCAGGGCTGGTGACAAATCGCCTATTGACGGTTTTATTAGCTTTGCCTCACTAATAATGATCTGCAACTTATTCAGCCCCTCATTGCGAGTTTTCCAATCCTTGTCGGCCATTTCTTTGAGCAATGCTTCAGTAATTTGTGGTGAAATATCAACTCGTGGCAACAAATCTGCCATGTTAATGGGTTCTTCATCTCCTCCTGCTCCTTCATCTACTTCAACATCATCGTTGGCTGCGGCTGCAAAAGCTTTCTGAACTCCTCGCACCGGTTTCGGCGGTTTCTCACCCACATTCTTGTCAAACTCAGCTTGTATTTGTAATTTTAGCGCAGGCTTTTCTCCATCGAAGAACATCATGAGAGCATTGCCCATATACATTGCCATAGTGCCTACTAACAAGATGGCAGAGCCTCTCACTGTCGGATTAATGCTCTGCACACCCTTGCGCACATCTTCAATAAGCATTTTGGGTTGCAACTGGAATCCAAATTCAGTGATGGACTTGTTGACCCAGTTGAACGCCTCGGACTGCACTTTCGGTGATTTCTGCTCCAGAGCAAAGGTCAGCACTTTTCCGACCACATACTCGAGTTTGGTAGCCTCTGCAAATGCGGTAAGTACCTCAGCAGCTGTAGTGCTGTTTTTGGCATCGGCCAGCTTTTCGGTAATATCATTCACCACGTGGTCCACTGTGATGGTAGTTAGCGTGTAGTTTTCGGCAACGCTACGAATGATATCCAACTTGTATTTGAGCACCTGAAAGTTCATTTCCTTGAGGCCCGGTTTTCGGCCGCTGATAGTGCGTATTAAAATCTGTGAAATACCCGTCTGTTTGGCATCAAAACTTGTGATTTGTCCCAGAAAATTTTCCACAGCTGCCAAGCGGTTTTTCCAATTGGAATCAACAAGGCCGTTGAGAATATCCATGGGTATAATTTCATCGGCTTTGGCCTGCACTTCCTCAGGCGACATTTCACGTTCTGAGGCTATGGATTTCCCTGAGGATTTTCCAGCAGCTATTCCAGCTCCAGCTGATCCAGCTCCGGAACCAGATCCACCCGAGGCAGCTGGTTTTTTGACAATCTTACGAGCGCCTGATGTAGCAGGCCGTGTCACTGGTTTTGGGTCCACGCTACCGGCCACTTTGGATGCTGCTGGCTTGACTCCAGGAGCTGTCGCAGGCCGAGCTTCCTTCTTGGGACCGACTACTTTGACTTTAATCTCAGCCTTGTCGTGGCATTCCTTTATCTTGCTCATCTTTAGGGGATCCACATCCATAAGCAGTGGGGCCAACGTTTTTTCACCCATTAGCTTCATCAGTGTTCCCAGGGCTTCCGCTGAACTGTCACGCACTGTTGGGTCGGATTCGTTGAGTGTTTTAATAAGCGCTGTGGTTACGACCTTGATTAGTTTTTTATTCAGAGCTGCAGGCTGTGTGCGTGAGAGAGCACGTGCTAAGAATAATGCAGTCTCCGATTTGACACTTGGATTTTTATTGGCCAGAGATTCAACGATACATTCTTGTTGAGCCTCCAGAGTTGTCGATGCATAAATATAATCCGTGGCTTCTCGTAGTGCATTGACAACATTTGGTTTTTTCTCCTTAAATTTCTCTAGCAGGGCGGGCACACAAGCCTAAAAGCGTAATGTAGATAATTATGATATATGTATTGAATTTATTTGTATAATTCTGGCTCACCGATGCATAGGTTGAGAAACGCTTGCCCAGGCCCTTTGCCAGCATGGCCAAGCATTTTCCCGCCATGGCAACCAACACCACATTCGAATCCTTTGTGATGACCTTCTTCAGCGTGTTGACTAGGGTGCCATACTCTCCGCTCTCCAGCTTTGGATTATCCGTGAGCAATTTTTCAAGGGTTTCTAAGGACTCTTTGCGCAATGTCCATTTTTTTTCCTCCAGCTTTTCGTAGAAATCTTTTGGCATTTTTGACAATATATCCACAGGATCGATAAGATCCATGGGATCAACCTCATCGACATCAGGATCGGCTTCATCATCTGTGATGATGAAATTGAGTTTAGAAAAACAATCGATAATATAGCAAGCAATATTATATTGTTAAAAATTACGTGCTAAGCAAAATGAATTGTGGATAAAATAATATTAAAAAAGCATTTAAGCATCGCCTTTACCATTATAGGCATCGTCATTAGCAGCGGCATCTGCAATCTTTTGTTGCTTCTCCTGCTGTGACTTTAGGTATCTGTAAGGTCGCATATTAAGCCGGTTAGCAAAAATACGAGTTATTATAGCTTCGGTTTACATACCTTGATGGTTCAGCACGTTCGCTCTTTACCTTCTCGAACTCATCCTCCAGTTCCTTGAGCGTGACTTGAGGCAATGTGGCAATTTGAGCTTTCATAGCGGCGCCAATCCAGCTGAACAGATGAACAGTTAATGCTATCAGCTATATTCGATCCCTCTCTAACTTACCGATAAATTTCGACGGCCAACTGCTTGCCTTCGTCACGCACTGCTTTATCGCGATCGCTCATCAGGGGGGCGAGTTTCTTTATCAGCGGCTTTACATTGATCACCTTGTGACCAAATTCGCGCAACGCTAACGTTGTGGCTGCCACACACGCTGATACAATCTTTGGATTCTTATGCTCCATGCCCTTGACGAGTTCCTCGATCACTGCCTCATGTTTCTCAATCTCTATATACATTAACGTGACCTGCACTGACAAATCCTTGGTCTTGACTTTGGGGGCCGCAATACATTTTTGCACAATCCCTGTCATAACATCGCCCACGGTTCGACCGGCTAGCCCACTGTTCTCGACAAAGATGAGGGCCGCCTCCAGACCCTTCTCCTGAGCCAGAGCATTCGAATCGACGACCATTTTTTTAATTAAACTTGCATACTTCGACCACTCAGGGGATTTTTCATCATCTAGCTCCCGAAACAGTTTGGCAGCTTCTTCGTAGCCATCGACGCGCGCTTTCCATAGTTTGTGCACGCAACGCTCATCCACGGGTAGTTTCTTATATTCGGTGTCCTCGGCCATGGTCAGGACTGTAGTTTAGCGAAATTCAAACGTACAAACAATCGTTTGGCTGAAAACAAAATGACGAAATAAGATAGAATTCGAAAAAATCATTGGGTGACGCCAAAATCAATACAACCAACGAAGCAGAACGATGTGCGTGTATGGAATAACGCACATATATGAATGTGATTATGGGCTTATGTGACAAACGCTATAAAAGTTAATGTTTCAAAATTGAACTTAATTATGGGTAAAAAAAAATGGGCAAAGAAATGCAATCGTCTTCATGGGTGTGAGGGTCAAATCTATGAACTTTTGTGTACATTTTTATTCATATATGAGTGTATATTTCGGTACATATATGAAAAGACGCCCCATTTTAGGCAATAGCTAAATTAAAAGCGGATTAATTATTAATTCGCTACTATATATAGTACTTTCGTTTATACATACATATATCCTACCGAAACTTAATTGGATATTAGGAATATATACGTGCATAACTAATGTTGCTGCAAAGATTGAATATATGTTACCTCTATAAACCTCTAGTATATACAACATTCATTTTTATTTTAAAATTTTTTTTTTTTGTGGAGAGTACAGGCTATTTTACTGTCGAGCTTGCTCGACTGTAGCGTTCTATCTCGTTATAAGTCGCTTTAATCAACTTAGTCAACTTAATCAACTTAGCAAAGTTATTCATCTAAGTACTTCTTATGTCAGCTAAGCGATATATAATATAGAAGTCCAATAAGGTGCAAATACCAAATTTATTTCAGATAGCTACCTTAAAATCTAAGAAATAATTGTAAAAGCGAATGATAGTTCCCATCGCAGGTTTAAGATATAGTCGTCCGATCTAGATAAAGAAAACCATTATATTTGCAAAACTTTAGAGCGAAAGCTTTAAGACAGAGAAACTAGTTTCGATTCCTTTAATCATAGTAATCTCAAGGAATCCTTTATTGAAAAATGAAACGGGTTACATGTTTGTTTAAAATCGGAAATTTCTAACTCAAAAATAGGCATAACTCATTTATAGGCACTATACAAATGTGCTTATTAGTTGTACATATATGATCAGCCTTACGACCTAGCACTATGCACCGAATTGCTGGACCCAAATATGCCGGCCATGCCAGATCACTATAACATATACATAGCTGTCTTACTACCGATACACCCTTCACAAAAAATGTAGTTTACAGAACTTATATTTTTATAAAGGGTAGTTATGGCTGACAATGCTGCAACAGTTGCGGATTGCGAATGGTTGACATGAAAGACCAAATATGGAATAAGAAAAAATTATTTTTATGAAGATTGGCACAGACACAGGTTGTCATGTTGGCGGTTTCTAATCATTGACGAAACAAAGTGTGCAATCGATAGTTTCAAATGATTTTCAATCTTTAAGCGCTCTTGGCAATTTTCTCAACTACAATCGTTATTTAGCTGGAGTTTCAAAGGATATTAGTCGGCAAGTTTTATATTATAGATACATATGTACATGCATATGTACATATGTATGTATGTGAGTATGTATATGCATCCACTTCCTGTTTGTATGAGCGTTAGCAAAATTGACAAAACGGCTGCTAACACGCATAAGATGAAATCACTGCAACAACAAATAGCTCAAAGCGCGTTATGTCAAAGCACCCCAGGAAGAACTCAAATACCTACACGCATACACATGTACATATGTATGTACATATGTGGGTATGTAAATTTAACATTTTTCACATCAATAATAATGTCGCGCCCGATTTGTTTGCTTGTTGTAGTTAGCAAAAAAAAAAAGAGAAGCATCTACTCTTTTGACGCTCACAATTTAAATTAACGGATCTCACCACAACAAATGATTTTATTAAAGAGCGCAATGTTAAAACAAAATGCCGTCTGTTACCGTTTGTTCTCACCGCCTTATTAATGTTGATATTTCTGGGTTGGTGCAGTTTTTAATAATTCGTTTTAAGCAGAGGACTGAAGTACGAATTGATATTTTGTACATATTTTGCATTACAGTATTTATTACTTTAAACACATACAAACGTTTGTACGTATAACAACACAAACGTAGGCTCCCTGTCGACGGCGGCAGAAGAAAATGACGCCCACAGCTGCGTTGCATTTGATGTAATGTACATTCATACATATGTAAAACATAATAAGCATGCGAAGATTATTTTGTGTATAGGTAGTTGTCGTTTAATATTTGTCCAATGAATTTCTTAACATTCAAGATTGTGAACTCACAGTTAACATATAATATTTCAACATAGGGCGGACAGCTGGCTGGCTCCTTTCTTCGATTTTTCACAGAAGCCGATGCGCACAAATTAAAGCAACACACAAACTTACACACACGGCTTTGTTGCAGAAAAAGGATCACGGTGCAAATATGTTAAAGCGTTGCAACAAAACAAAATAAAACTTAACAAAATCGCAAACAATACTATCCACTTTTTATCAATTACACTAAATTTATTGTTTGAAATAAATAAACGCCAAGACGATTGCGAGATGCAGACGACGCTCTCTTCTTTAGTGGTGACCGATACTTGAGTGACTGTGAGTTTGTCAGAGTACTTTGTTGCCCACCACTAGGCGGCTTGGTGCTATTGTACTCGTGATGTCACCCGTCAAACTACTGGGCGCAATATGAAAGCAAATAGTCATAACGAAATTAGACAAATAATTCATATTTATTATACTTATTTATATTTTACTACTCTAGTTTACAGTCTTAAATATCGCCCACATCTTCCTCCTCGATACGCGTAATCTCCAGTAGATGTATTGTATGTCCGCCCATCGCTTCCAACAAGTCCACTCCTTTGCCTATATCATCGATGTTCACAGGCAGTGCGTGGAGCTTCCACTTTTTAAGCAACGCTTCAATTGACCAATCTGCACTGCGCTCCTGATATGTGAATATGAATTTCGCGCCACGGCTTCGTTCTAGCAAGAAAGCCACCGTTACAATAATATCTTCAAAAACACTTGGGTCATAGAAGCAGTCTGCCGCTATAATCAAATCCAAGCTTGCTGGGAGGCGAAACACACTGTTTAGCAACAGTCCCCAACTTAATCCGACTACATCAATGTCTAGTCCAGGTTGCAGCATATTGGCTTGGCACGATTTTCTTATATGAGCCAATGACTTTGGCAAAATGCAGTTGTCACTGAGCACTACCTTAGCTCCGCACTTTGCACTTAAGATTCCAGGCAAAGCGGTCCCGCAACCCAGCTCGAGAATCCGCTTGCCTGCCAGCTCCTGTCGGCGCTCCCATAGAAAGTGGGCCAAAATGGGTGCACATGGCCATGTATAGAATGAGTATGCACCTTGCATAAGCTAGAAAGAAATGTGTGCTAGTTTAGGAGGTATGGCAAATCTAGTTCACTTACCTCTGGAATTTTAATCTCTAAACGTTCGGCGTCTCCTACGCCAGAACTAAAGACAAACTTCCTCACGTGCTCCACGGCTGCATCTGCGTCGCCTGTCGTCACAATTGAGTTCATATTTAATGTGTCGTTCATGAGGAAACGCATTTTTACATCACATTACATTGGTGCGGGCGCCTAAAACTATTTACGCTCTTGTTGATAAATCCTTTGTTAATACACTACATATGTCAGAATTGGTGCTGCCAACCTGCTAACAAAAACGACTTTAGAATCCAAAGATTTGAGTAAAAATGCAACAGGTAATTGAGTATTTTCTGCAGTCCAGAATTTAAACAAACAGACGATACATTTTGAATTCAAGTATTTCTGATAACAGATCTCAGAATTGGAAATTTTATTTTTAAAATGAACTACTGTAATCAGAACTATTTAATAAAACCATTTAGATTTTTGAATTTAATAAAAAGTAGACTTTACATGGATCACATCCATATAGTTGCTTATTTAAGAATTTCGCTTCGCTGATTTAATCAAAAACTATCAATCACAGCTGCAATAGTAATAACGAAAACAAAGCTGAATCAATTTCCATACGAAAGTTGATATGCTTTATATGTAGTGTAAACATACTATACGTATCATATAAGACCGAAAAGATTAGAGAACAGCTGTGGCGAGGCTTTGCTTACCTGCAAAATTTAAAACTGCTGAGAACTGCAATGCCACGCCAATTCGCAGTCGCGGCACAATTCTGAGTCAACGCCGAGCCGAACACTATAAAAACCAATGAAGCAACTACTACAGTCCGCACAGTAATCAACGACAGTGACTAGTAGAGCGGCAACGGTCCTAATAATAAGAATAACAATGGTTAAAAATTGGCTGATGTCGGTAGTCTACATGGCCGTACTTCTAAGTACAGGCCAAGCGTTCTCCCAATTTAACAAAAACAGCAAAAGTCGCCTGCGTAAGTACCGAACATTATTTGTCTATATTGAATTGATCTTATGTCCAAGCAGCGTCCTTCCTTAAGGTTTGCTACCGTGATGATCCCGAACTGAGTACGTGCGCACGAAAATCGTTCGAGTCCCTGGAAGAACGCTTGATAGAGGGCATTCCCGAATTGTATATACCGCCGATGGAGCCGCTCGTTGTACCGGAAATCAAAATGGACCAAGATTCGGGTGCCATTTATTTACACTCGATCTATAAGAATGTAAAGATCAGCGGTATTTCGAAGCATACGCTAAATGATCTACAAATTGTGCCATTGAAATTTACGGTATCATTGACATTCCCACAACTTCACATGGAATCAGACTACAATATCAAGGGCAAAATTATGATGATGCCACTTTTGGGCGATGGCCGATGCAGTGTGGATCTCAGTAAGTTATTTCGCAATATGTGATTCATTTTATTTATATAAATATTTCAAACTTTCCAGCCAATATTACGATGGTTACGGAGCTCCATGGTCAAGAGTACAAAAAGCACGGCATAACCCATATTAAAATCGCTGACATTAAAGTAAAGTACGAGGTGGACAATGTGAAAATGCATTTGGATAATCTCTTCAATGGTGACAAAGTACTGGGTCAAAAAATGAATGATTTTTTGAATGAGAATTGGAAAACGTTGGCCGAGGAGGTCCGCCCTCTTATGACAAAGGCTTTAGTTGATATATTGCGCGCCTCTGTCGACAAGTTGTTTGATGCTTTCAGCTATGATGAGCTGCTTCCCAAAACAAAGCACTGATCGTTGTTCATAATTTTAATACATACAAGAAATGTGAAAACGAATGCAAATAAATTATAATGGTACTACAAGTAAAATCTAAATCTAAAGTAGCCACAGTTTGGTGGGCATTTTGGAGAACAAATTATTCCACAGACCATGAAATATGTCTGCTAAGCCCAATTCCAAATCGGGTCGTAACTCTGCTATAACCTCATTACCGTTCTGATTCAGGAAGGCGTTAATTGAAGCAGCGAGCACATTGTTGCCATTAAATAGATTTTTGAGATGTATACGCATGGCTCCCACCTCGAACCTGACTTTCATTTCATCAATACGTATGATTTCATCACCCGTTTGGGTTTCATTGCGTAGCGATATCTTGGTATAAACCGCCGTATTTACGTCTTTAAGCACCATAGCCACATCTCCGTTGCCAACAAGCGGCAGGAGCAAAATGTTGCCTTTGAGATTATATTTGGCACGTATACGCAGACGTGGCAGCTTCAATTCAAAGTCCAGTCTACGTTTCCCCAGATCCAGGCTATGAGAGAAAGAAAATAAATGATTTTAGGGTTGGCCATCAATTTAAATTGAAATTTTGCAACAACAATCCTTTCTTAATATTATGATGGACTTACTTAAAATTCAATTCTAAGCTATTGAAAGTTTTGTTTTATTATTAAAATTATTTTTTTATGTATGGATTTAAATTGTTTGGAATGTAAAAATTCATGAAAATTGTGTGTATATTGTAATTTAATTTACTTTGTATCGTATTCGTTCTTTAATATGCATAATTTTATTTTATTTCAATTAATTTTTCGTTTTCAATAGATTCATACATTTATTTTAGAGAAATTCTTTCCAAATTATCAACAACACAATTATTTAAATATATCACTAATCTAAGAGTCAAATGTGATAAAAAGAGGCAAGGGCGTAGGCAGGGGGGCCGTGAAAAAATTCTGGTATTCGGGAACGGGGGTTTAGAAACATCTTAAAAGGTTACTGAAATGTAATGCGTTTGAGTTAAAATGTTTAAAAGCCTGGGCTTAAGTACAATCAGTGAAAAGTTGTCATTAGTCACAAGGGGAGGGGCGTTGTACTGGCATTCTATTGCTATTCATTAAGCACTAGTCCTATACAATATTTTAAAAAGTTAACTTACTTAGCACGCTGAACAGTTGTGTTTGATGGACCACGTATCACGAGGTTCTGAAAGCCTCCGGATAGCACCAAGTTTCCATTTCCTTTCGAGACGGACACTTGATCAATGTGCAATGGTTCGAAGCTTTTAACGCCGATTTCAGGAATGCCGGCAACTAAAGCAGGAAAACAACCTTCGAACAGGTGGTGGAAGCAATCTGCGTCGTTGGGATTGGATCGTTTGCAAGTTTGTAGCCAGGATGCTTAAAAAGTTAAGAAATAGAAAAAGAGTGTTGAAATACAAATATTTATTATATATGTACTTATATTGGGTATAATTTAAAAGAATACAATCATATATATAGATAAAGAAACGTGCTGTATTTATATATAATGAAGTTACATACATATTTAGCAAAAAGCAACACTGTAATTAAGTTTTAATTGAAAGATTTTAACTTGAGGCATTATGTCACTTTAAATACTTACTAAGCAGGATTTATTTTTTAAGCCAATTATTTAAAAAAGTACCTTTTTAGTAATTCCAAACCGAGTGCAAATATGTATATAATTGTATATCTTTTTAAATGACATCATAAAAAATTAACAACTCTACGTGATTCCTGATACTAAGTGATTGGAAAATTAAATGAATGTGGTTTTTTACTATATCCTACAACTTGGCTTAAAAATGTATTTGAATATTAATACTTACGTCGCACTTGAAAAGGTGGCTTATTGTTTAAAATCTCTCGGGTGTACGTAGTTGAGGCGACTACCTCTAGCAGGTGAATTAAAGCGAGCACACAATATCCAATCTTAGAGTTCCAGTTGCGTTTTTCAATCATTTTTCCCTATGCTTAAAATAGGTGGCGAGCTTTCCTTTCAAGTGAATTTAGCGTGTGCACCAAACTGGTAGCTCTACTCTCCGTTACAGCTGACCGTAGTCGACGACGTCCCGAACCGAAGTGTACAACTTTTTTCATAAACTTTTGTTACATCCGTCCAGCTATTGCTGCGTAATATTTGCGCTGCAAGACCCCAAGCATAATTATATGCACATGCACGTTTGTATGTATTTATATATGTACATATGTATGTTCATATTTATGTACATACATGCATGTGTATCCATCGACCATCTATCAAAAAGTTGTACATATTCGGATTTTCATCATGCATCAGAGAGCCAACAAAAACAACAGCAGCAACAACTTGTTTCCGCACACTCTTTGGACCAAAAGTATACATTAACATTGGCGGGTTGGCTTCAACTTACCTGATTTTTTAGATGAAGCTTTGCTTTGAACTTTTTGTGTGTGTAACTCGTTACGTAGTCGCTTTTCTTTTCCAGTGCTAGTCGCTACCATTTATAAAAACATAAATATATGCGCCAATGACTTTGTTGGTGCTGTTAATCTCAAGATTGCATGTTGTCGCGGTCGTGGTCGTGGTCGTGGTCCAGTCCGGCAAGGTTGCGTATTTTTATTTTCTTTTTCAATATTTTCTTTCGTAGCTTGCGGAAATAACCAATTTGGCTTGCTGTGTGTTGTCACAGCTTTTTTTTACCGGCCCATTGCACAATTTTGTTTTGATTTGTGTATTATGTTTTAAGCTAATTATATTTAGCTGTTTATATTTTCATAGTTTTGCAATATTAAGTACATATATGTATATAAGTACATATATTTGTGTACATATCACGCAATTGCAAATTGGAGTTATTGCATTTAATACTGTAACTGGGCCATTAAAGATGATGTGTTAATTAGAAGGAATAAAATTGATTTTCTTAAGAATTTTTAAAATTGTTGTACGCTTGACTGACTTCACTTTTTAATATGAATCATGAATCCTCGAAGATTGGGCCTTTTTAATTTTGATGCTACAATTTATTGTTAATGACTTTTGTGATAAAATGTTTTATGTATATTTTAACTTTGATATTCACTGGAAAATCACTGAAAAACAACTGAGCTTTTAGGCTGACGCTTTGTATTTAAAAAGCATCGATATTGTGTAGTTCATTCGATACTGACACTGTGTTACTTTGTGGTGGTAACACAAACTACATGGTTGTAGCACGAGCTATATGGTCTAAGCACAAATTACTTTGGCGCTCAGTCGAGCTGCAAACCATTTTCTGATTCTTTCCATTTTTGAATGGATTGCTCATCACGAAAATGAATCTCCCTGTATTGTTCGTTCGATGTTAATTCAATAAGGAACATCGTACATTCTTCAAATCATGGCGATGAAGCCTTGGAATGGTGTTCTATACATGCAAACTTGCATTCCAACATATGAACTATTTTTGCATACATTTACATATGTATATGTTCTACATATACTTTATACTTACTACGAGGTGGGTTCAAAAGTAAGTTGACTTTTTAAGATTGTTGTGTTGGTACACATGTCCTGTTTCAAGTATGTTTATAGCACACTAAGTGTGTGGACATGCTGTGGGACATGGCCGTACCTTTTTATACTGATTAAGAATTTATACTTTACGTGGTCCACCATGTTACATTCACACTAAACTAGTGTACGAGGTACAGGGTGTACAGAAAAGCATCTAAATATTAGATTAAAAGAGGATTCTTAGATCATATTGGGAGAGTAGCTCAAAATTTTTTTTTTTTAATGAAACCCAACCCATTTTCGGGTTAATATTAAAATCTTGAAAAAATAGAAAAGTGTGGATGTACGAGTATACTTCAGCATCGTTCTACCTTTGATTATAGAAATATAAATTCAATTATCCATGTACGAAATATCGAATTTATTTGTTTTTATTTTTTTATTTTTTATGAAGAAACATAATACTAATGTATGCTATAAAACTAAAGGAAGGTGAGTGTTACTTGTTATACGCTTAATTTTATATACATAAATATGTGCAGACCATATACAATTTGAAGATAGTTCTAGGGACCACTCATACACGTAATAGCAAATTTTGATATACGCGATTAGCGATATTGTGCATATTGCATCGTACTACTAAGACTAATATTTGTACAAGAGGACTTGCTAGTTATATATAGATCATAAAAGTTAACTAGGAGTTAAGTAAAACTAAGTTGGGGGCATGTTCGAGATATCATTTTTAACTCTTGGTCTCACGCAAATACTACCGAGTGGTAATTTCACATTTGTATTTCCTACGACCGTAATTGCGAATAAAAAAGCTCAAAATGAAATTTAGATCATGGCCTTTCCAAGTCTTTTCAATCAATGTATGCATTTTTATCCAACACAACATATAGAGCTATATACTATATATAGGTATTTATGTAGGGGCTGACTGGATAGTTATTCTCGCATCACCAATAGCGGGGGAGATCACAGCGCCTAAGCTTAGGAGGTAGCCATAAGCTTAGCAGCCTGTATAACGTTGTGCTGATGATGATAGCCAGCCAACTCGGCCGAACCTCCACCCAAGGCCGTCGAGACAGATCCCAGCGTACCCAAGGACGCTCCAAAGTAGCAGTTATTTACGTAATCGTAGTTGCTGGTATTGGACTCCGTTTTCACGCCATAGGCTGCAGCTGCCGCGGCTGCGTGTATATGATGATGCGGCATATGGTGGCTATGCGAAGTACTGGAGGCATGCAGATGGTGCTGATAGTGGGGCGATGGTGTGCCATTGCTAAGGGTGGGTGTGAGGGCACCTCCGCCTCCTCCTGCTGCGCCGGCCGCATTGCTGCTCGTGTAGGGGGATGCTGCAACGGAGTTACTTGTCTGATTCTGACTCTGTAAGGTGGATGGGGTGTACAGCTGCATGCTGGCGCTATGCAGAGGTAGGCTGTGCCTTGAGGCATTGCTCGAGGGAGCAGCACTGGGCTGTTGTTGCGAGTGGAAGAGATGCTGCTGTTGCGAATGAAGATGGTGGTGGTGCTGCGGCGCCTGTTGCTGCTGTACATGTGGATGGTGCTGATGTGTTTGCTGTTGCTGTCCATGGCTGCTGAGGGATCCGTGCAAGCCTGAGCTGGAGGCGAGACTCAGCTTGCTAATGTTGGAGGACAGACTGTGACGTTCCAGACTGAGAGTAGGTTTTAAATCTATACGGGAAACCATAAATTAGTTGCAGTTCGACAAATCAATAAACTTATTTCTAGTCTTTAGGAAGGTGTCTTCTAAAACTAAGTATAGGTTGCCAAACTTAGGCAGTTTCTAAAGATATTCAAAACAGAATTAGCAAAATTTAGTTCTGAAAGTCAGGTCCAAAGTACTTAATTTCATCTTTCTTCTGTCTGTTACATATAAGTAGCTTGAATAAAATCAACATCCACAATTCAATGATAACAGATAAACACAACGGCTTTAAATTGCAGATTTCAACTACGAGAGAAGCGAAAGCCAAGAGAAAAGCAATGTCAAGGCATGTCAGGCCCCCGAAAAGTATGTATAGTATATTCCTGATCACTATGACAAGGCGAGTTAATAAAGCAATGTCAGTCTGTCCGTCAAACCGTATGAACTCAAGGATCTCAGAAAGTATACACGTACGAGCTAGAATAACAAAACTTGGATTGTAGATTCTGCTAAGGCCGAGGAAGGACTAGTTTGTCTATTTTCCCTAATGCACCTCCACTCCTCCGCTATAAGTAATTTTCCTGAATTTTGTTATAGTTCGAAATTGCATCTAGTAGGACTTAAGTCAAACACTTAAGGAAGTTATAGCTGTTGTTGCTAATTTGGCTCAACTGTGTATGTCCTATATTCTTCTTTCTTCAAGTTCTCTACACTGTTTTTTAATATATGTAGTAAATAAATAGAATAAAAAAACACACACACATACGTCATTGCTGCTATTGAAGAATTGCATAAAAGCATGTGCCATAATTTAAATACATTAAATTAATGAATTACATTTTAAAAAGTGAAAACGGTTTTGCTGTTGTTTGCTTCTAAATTCTATTTTTCTATGCGTATATTTGAGAATGTAAATATTTGAGAATGTAAACTGTGTATACTTTTAAAGTTCTTTCATAGCAGCTGTTGGTCTAGCTCCAATTTTGGAGAAACTACAATTTGTACGCATCCAAACAGCTCTATTGTATAAGTTACTCTCCTCTATGCTGCCCCCATTTGTTGATTCAAATTATGCTGACTGTACTTACCATGTTCTTCCTTGCACTCCTTGATAGCTTCTGTCCCCGTGCTGGTGCCACTCGTGCTTGTCCCACTGCCTCCCGTTTTCTTCGGCTTCCGTTTGCGTGTCTGAATCCCGTCTTTTCGCATAGCCAGCGGTCGATTTACGCCGTGCAACTTGAAGTACAGACCACAGGCATTGCACACTGGTTCACCGTCATTGTTTCGTCGCCAAAGGGTCGTGTTGAGTGTTCGGCAGTTGGTGCAGCACAAGCCCAGGCGGCGATTGGAGGTCTGCGAAGGATAATCCATGTTTGGGCATTCGATCCTGTTGTCGATTTGCAGATTGCTACTCACTGTACTCACCAGTCTCTTGCTCGGCTTGATCAGAGGTCGATTCATGCCATTCATCTTGTGATACAATCCACAAGCATTGCACAAATAATGACCGGTGCCATCCCGTCTCCACAGAGGCGTGGAAATGGCGCCACAATTTACGCACTCGCGACCCTCTCCGAATTGGAAGTCCATTGCATTCTCGTACGGCGATGAGCGTTGAAATCCCGGATCGTAGGCTGTCCGCCAGGGAGTCATCATTACGGCAGCGTTTTGTGTATAAAACTGTGCCGGCAACTGCGCATGCGCGCTGCCAAAACTATCCGTGGTCCAGGCGTTCTGAGCGGCAGCGCTCCCAAAATGCGCCGCCACATGATTATACTGGCTGTTGGTCAACGCCCGACTGGAGGGCACATAGACCGGAGCGTTGACGGCCTGCTGGTGATGGTATCCGGGGACGCCGGCTCCGGCTGCGCTGCTGGCAGCCGCAAGGTCTGTGTAAGCGGCGGCTGCAGCGGCACTCGAATGATACATCTCAATGCTGATGCTGCAGCCAGCAGCGGCGTTGTCGCGAGTGGACTGCTGATCCGATACGGACTGTAGGAGAGAAATGAGAGAATGTTTTAGCAACTCAAACAGGCATCACACAACACGCTCAACTCGACGCGCCTACGTGGCAGGCATTGCGCCCACAAGGCTTGGCCTGCTATTGGCTGCTCGCAACTCAATTGCGAGCAACACCCCGCTGGCAGCCATTTTGTTGCTGCCTGCTTCTTGCTGAGCTGTAACGCTTATGCCTTCCTTCCATATCCCATCCTCTGCTACGCTTATTACGAGAGATGAAAACTCGTTTCATGCACACATACACGTATGTATGTATGTACGACTAATTCTGTCAAAAATCGCACAAGAAGCAAATGTAAAGTGTCGAAGGATCGAAAAAGATCATTTTCAGTGACGCTTTTAACTGTGAGATTTAATTTTTTTATTCGAAACCAGATTAGAACTCTCTTGTTAATCGTAATTCTGTGTTCTCTTTTATTAAGTATGTACAGAAATAGTGTTGTAGTCTTTCTAATCAAATAATCTTTTCTTCGAATTTACTATTTTACAAATCGCTTATTTTGAATAAACATATACATAGGTATGTGTACAGAGTACAGGTAAACCACAGAATAAAGTACACTCTTTGTCATGTAAAATTAAATTTGATTTTAACAACGAAAAATAACCGAAAAATAATCTCGGAAAATAATTGAAACCAATTGTCCTTCATTTGGGAATTTTCATTAGAGACCACAGTTTCGTCACCCTTTCGGAAATTCTTTAGCATATATTTATATCTGATGTCTTTCAGAATTCCACCAGTTTGTGAGCTGTTAAACAACTCATTAGTTTAGGGAGTTCTGATCTACTATAAGCTATAAGCAGCCCAGTTGTTATAAATAAATACTGATTTGAAATGATTTATTACATTTAAATGCAAATAAAAGCATGCAACTAATATACAACAATCATTACAACACCTTATTCTATTTTTACACGGTCTTTTTTTACACGATTTTGACTTAAACGGTTTGAAAATTTTATATATGGTTACACTACTTTATTCCATTTAGCAAGATTCATTTTGCATATGATCAATGTCTTTTTTTACACGTTTTTTTTAGAAACCAATCTACCGTGTAAAAACAGAATTAGGTGTAATTTAATGAGTACTATTTATATGTTCTGCTCTTAGGCTAATTTCATATTTTCAATTGATAAAATTGTCAATATGTGTACACGTATACGTACATATTTATTTTATTGTTTATTCATGTACTTTTTTTTAAATACTATGATCAATAATAAGACCATTTTGTTAATTTTGGTAATTAAGTTTTCATAGTTCGATGCATTCTTTAAAATGTACGAAGGCTGGTCTGGTTGAGATATGACTTTTTTTACTCTTTACGGAAGAGTGTAAAGGTAAGGAAGATTGGTAGACCACACGTTATAGGATCAGAATAGCGAGATGAAACGAAATCGAATTAGGGAATATCCGTCCACCCATATTTCTGTCTACTTTATTCATTATTCCTGCCATACTTTTATTTTAGAACTACTACGTTGATCGCTATTCTTTTTACGGACATAATATAAGATATCGTGACCCACCATGTCAGATCTCTAAATCATAAAGCTGTCATATAAATGTTATGACTAAGAAAATGTTTTCGTATGCAAAACTTTTTGTCTATAAATTTATATTGCACACCAATTGAATATTGAGAATGTCGATCTACAGTTGCGACGGTTCCCGAAAGGTAAACGATGAAAACCAAAAAAAAAGAAGCTTCCTAACCTTTCTATCTATAGTTCCCACCCTATGGCCATTGAGAAATAAATTCTTGGTTGTAGGTATGCGTAACTAAATGACTTAATGCATTTGTCATCACAATTATCTTGGGAAACTGTAGTTTTAGTGGCTGCTTGATCACTTCATTTTTGTTAAAAAATATTATACACGACTCTTCATTTATTTACCTACATATATACATACTTATGAATATTTATAAATTTCATCTTTTAGGCTTAACGTATAACGTCTTTTCGCATTGCACACAATTTTATAAAAGCTGTTTCCCATTTGAGAATGGAATTATCATTTATTTTTGTCTACTATCAATTTTACACCAAATCATAATATTCTACAATTTCAAGTGCTTTTCAATATTGCTTTAAGTTTTGCGTTCTCCCCATTTCAAAAGTTCAACAACCACATGCACATCAACAACAAACACACGCAAGAGTAAATCGAAAGGAAACATTGAAACCTGTACTTCAAATCAAAATCAATTAACGCACCAATTGTATATCTTTATTTATAAGCCCAATATTTCTTTTTCAGTTTACACAAAAATATTTGACGTCTTTATCTTATCCCAGAAATTTAATGCGATGATGTATGAAATTTTTGTAAATATCAAAGTGTTTCAATTTTGTTTTTTTCTGACACAGATTGTATGCATTATCTTATATGTATAAACAGATGGCCATCGCTTGGAAATCTGCCACTTTTGCAGTCACGACAGGGAATGTTGATTCTGCTCTCCAAAAAATAAAATAAACTCGTCTCGGACCTAGGAGAATCTGGATGCCAACTTTGGTTATTCTAGCTTTTATAGTTTCTGAGATCCTTGCGTTCATCCAGACGGACGGACAGACGGACGGACATATCTAGATCGATTTCTCTCGTCATGCTGATTCAGAATATATATACTTTATGGGGTCGGAGATGCTTCCTTCTGCATGTTACATACTTTGCACAAACCTAATATACCCTTTTTACCCTACGGGTACAGGGTATAAAAAGTTGGCAATCGAAACCCGCATAGCCACCACAAGTGCTTGAAGTAAAATATACTTTGGTATGTTTAGATGTATGTTTGGTAAGTTTGGTAAATATTAAAACCCAGAATCTACAGCAATATTAAAAATTCGGTGAAAAACTAATTATATTAAATAATTTGTTGGCTCTTTTCTTACAACTCTTTCTGAAACTCTTCATCTTAGAGTTATCTTTTTTGTTCTTGCATGGGCAAATCATAGCCATATGTATCTATAATTTTACATCTGTATTAATTGCACGGCCTTTTGTTATTGCTTCCAATAGCTTAATTAGTTATGAGCTAATTTGATATTCCAAAGATTTCTGCTTCTGTTCATCAATTTCTTTAGTCAAATACGTTTTTGATTTGTTCCCATTTTCGTAGCCACATTAAATGAATATGGAAAGCAAGGAAAAGAATGAGATATAGATATATTCAGCTTTATTACTAAATTCTTTTAAGTAATTAAAATATACACAGTGCCGAAAAAGAAACAAAGGTCGTCAAAACAAAATCCAAAAGCTAAAGCGAAACAGAAACAAAAAGTAAAATGTATCGAACGTCAAAGAGTTGACCACGCGTGCATTATAATGTCGCTCCCTTTAGAAGATCACTCGATCAAACAGAGCGCCGGCAGTTGCCACTATAAGGCCGGTGCAACATCAAAGAGACTCGGGCCGCACGAAAAATTGTCAACATGCTGCAGCAACTTCGGCCAGGAGATGAAACCCATGCAAATGCATATGGTCAAGTAGGTAAAGAAGGATCACGGCGAGCACACACACATGGGCATAATCAGAAATGGAGTAAGACGACTTGGAAGTGGCTGAAAAGGCGCTTTGGCGCTTATAAAACGTCGAAAAATAAAACCAAAAAGCATAGAGAGCAACAACCAACGCCTCTGGTTATACGAGTAGTCCAGCATTGGAAGAAGAGAAATAAAAAATCAATTCCATTAAATTGACCCACAAAACGGCAACGGATCGACATCAACAGATACGATCAGTTGTAGCCGTTGTTGATGAAGACGACGAGTGGGAAGTTCCATAATTTGTCATCTCAAAGAAAGGAATGAAAACAAAGAACGAAAATCGCTTAAGCTCTGAGCGACGAAGAATTAAAATATGAAGGACGTAGTGAAAAAGGAAAGAGGACGCACTTCACATGACTTTACGCATTAGGCCTATTTACAAGTGCAGTTACAGATCTAACATTATTGCACTATTTCTTAAGTAATAACTGAAAGTAATTATAAGACGCTAATACTCATTTAAAGGTTGTAAAAACAGCGTAAGTGTAATCTGAGTTTTTACTGTTTTTGATGTAAATATGATCTCAAAAAAAATGTTATTTGTAATTCCTTAATCTTTATTTAAGATCTGTCCTATAATGGATGAATGCTGCTGTCATGATGGTAGCAGCGTGGATCGAATCAAGTGTCTGCTGCGATTTATATTAAAAATAATAGGTTTTAACGTGAATTAAGCCCACGCCACACTAATATACACGTAATGCAAAAATATTTTAAGTTTAAACAAATTTCCGTACTTTTAGGAAAAACATTTCTAATTTGCGGAAAACATAATCTGATTTAATGAAAAGTATTCCTAAGTTCAAGGCTGTATTCTTTTTTAAATAATCTTTATCTGTATTTTAAGAGCGATTTTATTTAAAGTATTTATTTGGTACTTAACCTTTTATTGATTGATCATAGCTAGACCGAATTCAAGAATACTGTTAGGTGTACTTTTACCGCCGTTAATATCTTAATGATATAAAATATCATTCCTGAAAAACTTTTGTAAAAATCTCACTAATATGGAAGATATAAATATATCTATATCGAAGCGCTACGGTTAAGTTAAAAAAAAAATAGTTCTTCACAAAGAAATACTTATAAATTAAACTGCATTCACTATGGGGTTTTAAGATCCTATACTTTTTAACTTTTTATACCCTGTACCCAAAGGGTACAAGGGTATATTAGTTTTGTGCGAGTGCATATATAGCCATATAACCAGGCCCAATGCACACATACATACATATGTACAAGCACACAAACACGCATTAGGCACGATTCTAATGTAAATGTAAATGTATGTATGCATGCATGGAATATTTTATATTTAATTAGTTAATATTTAGTTAATTAATTAAATTAATTTAGTTAATTAATTTAATTAAATTAATTAATTAATTTAATTACTTTTTTGTGGGGTGGTACAGGGTATTTAAGAGTTGAGCCTGCTCGACTTTAGCATTCCTTTCTTGTTATAATTTTAAATTCTTTGATTTTTATCGTGTTATAATAAAGTCAGTGCCTGTGCGATTTCATTAGAATTATTTATCGTTTAAATAAGCAAGAAAATCGAATTTTATAAATTTGTTTAGTAAAAACTTACATCACCATCGCTTAGTAAAAGGCCCATTGTTTATAGCAAAATGTTTAGCTGCTTTTTGACAAATCGCTTTAATTACTTTGCACAGTTTCCCGTTTATGGCAAAAATTTATGTTTAGTGCATGAAAATGCCCAATTCGGAGTTTTATTAACCGCCTTAAATGCATTCAACTAATCGTTTATTATGTATGACTCCGGGTTGAATTGTTTTATTCATTATAGGCATTGGTGTAAAGCTTTTGATTAATGCGGTTGTAAAGCAATAAATTGTCTTATTATTCCATTTACGGGCACTTAAAAATACATTTATACTTTTGTTGTTTTTTTCGTTGTTTATTATTATTTTTTAAGACACACACGGCGAAGTGCTCAACGAACTGACTTCCTTGAGGCGTACAAACAAACTAAAAAACGCCTCAAAGTAAACAAAAACTTAATCCCAAAAATCCAGTCCGCCGCAGGCACAACATCAACAACTAATTTAACGTCGACAGCGACGGCGACGGTGACTTCGACTGAGACTGAGACTGCGCGCCACGCAAAATCAAAACGAAGTCAAGCCAACAACATAAAAAGTCAATTTCATCAATGGGCCAGTCGTCCGTGCGTCCGTCCATGTCGTCCACGCCGTCCATCGATCTGTCTCAGCCCGGTTCTCGGCTGCATTGAAGACAGAGAGTGTCACTTGCAGGCGTCGCCGTCACACACAAAATCTCAATATCCGTGAGCACAGCAGCCGCACTCAGAGTCGGAGGGTGAGGTGAGTTAGATAGAGATAGAGCTACTAGAGTGTTGGTATCGCGCTGACAACCCTGTCAGGTATAAATTTGTAGGTGCACATTTCATACACAGCGGCAGGCTTCGCCGCAGGCAGAGGTAGGGGCAGCGGCAGAGACGGCGCTTAATTTCACTGCGGCAGAATGGAAAATTAGTCAATTTCATGTAAGTCTTGAACAATTATATCCGTACTTGAAATCTGAAACCGGTTGTTGTCGCCAATGCCGTTGCCGATGCCGCAACACTCGGAGCACTACTTGAACTAGAACTGTAGGTAGCAGTTTTGATTTGGAAGTGTGCGCAGAGGCTAGAGAGAACGAGTACCTTTTGGCAGCCTAACAAATGCGATGTTTATATAATGGGCACGACCTTGAATTTTCTCAGTGTTTAATTAATTTAAGCGAAATATAATAATTCATTTTTTTAAATCGTTTGCCATTGATTTTTTCTGTATATTGTTTTACTGTTAAAGGATCTACTCATTACCTCGGCTGAGCCATATTTTGTCGTTAATAATTATACAATTATAGTAGTATATAGTTATGCTAGCATGCACAAGAACAATAAACTACGTACATACATACATACACATGCGCTATTATATTCAACGAGCTTATTGGGCATAACATCACAATTAAAGAATTCTCCTTTTTTATAAAGATCTACTCTGTCGTTATATTGACTAGTTGATTCTGGTGTGTAATGGTTTATTGTTTAGGGTATACAGTTTTTTATAAGTTATAATATTAATTATAAACATTTTAACCCGTGGTTTAACTCGATTAAAGGCTTAACAAATCTTGGTCGAGCTTGATTTAAGCTCACTCAAGTGTAGTTTGTATTTAAAACATAAAAAAAAAATTAACAGGTTCGGTCACAATTGTAGGCTGTAATTTTTCTCGCAGTGTACGCGGCCTTATGGGCCTTGGAGGAATAAAAGCACAATAAAGGGAACAATAGCTTCACTTCTTAGCTCGTAGAAAGTTATCTTTACACATTATACATAAGACAATGTAAAATACCGAACACGTTATTCAACTACATATGTATGCATATGCCGGAACGAATGGCATATTTGTAGGTACCCTACAAAATTGGCCAAAACAATTGTCCCACATCATTAATCAAGCAATGTGCGTTAATTCGTGCAATCTGAACAGAACACATAAATTATCCATCAAAATGTTATGGCAAGGCCTCAACCTGAACTCCCTCGCAGCTAAAAGCAATTTTTATTATCGTTGCTGTAGGAAGACAAAAACAAAGCTCAGGAATCAAAGAAAGGGGCAAGGAGGAGGGTACGAAAGATGTCAAAACAAAAACCGCACGGCAGACATGGGCATATTTCAATCGACGTTGACACATCCTGCTGCGCTAATGGACCTTAATTTGTGAACAGTTTCATATACCATCCGCTGAAGCGTTAATGCGATCGTCCACTCACACATACATACACACGCACATATATACAAGATCTTGTTAAGGAGGCTGAGAACGTTGATGAGTAGTCGGAGTCTCGAGCAACTTCGCGACGTTCCAAATAACTTTTATGAGGCTTATCCAGCAACTGTAAACACGATTGATAAAATTAAAACAATAATATAGTTTTATGAACTTGACACGTGCTTTTTTGGAAATCAAGCATACATATCATTGCTATCATTCCACACTGTACATGACGTCATAGCGTGGAAAAAGGGGTAATTATGAAGTCGAGCGAAGAAAGTCTGATGGAAATTTAAGGGTATTGTTATTGATAATAAGTAGACAAATGATAATTGTCTTGGCTCCACTTATCCTTCTAAGCCCATTTGAATGACTGCGGCGGAGCAGAGCCGGAAAAATGTCACCAAAATATTTTCAAAGTGGCGTCACCGCCACCGCCACCGCGACCGCTTAAGACTTTCTTTTTGCTATGTTCTTCTTACTTATATAGTGCATTTGATTTTAACAGCCATAGCTTCATTGTCGCTTTGATCGTAGACGATCTTTTGCTATCTCCCCCTATCCCTCTACCTCTTTGCCGCTCACCACCATGTCGCAAGGTCGGCAAAGATGAAAGCAATGTTTATTGGTTTTTGTAGTGATTATAAGTGGATTTGTGGTTCGATTCTTAATGGCGAAGTGCGCCAGTCGCCGCGCATCTCACTCCACCAGTCCGTCACTCCACTCTTCCCAGCTTCTTCGACTACGAGTATGTCTACGGCTATATCGATGAATGTATTCAAATGTATATTCTGATTTCTTTTTATGCGTAATTATGAGATTTTCCCGTCGTTTCTTAGAGTGTGACGTCTGTTCTCGCTGCCCCGAGTCTGCCCGATGCATTTAAGTGTTTTGGGCAGTTTGGGCTCGCGTTTTTCGTAGGCAAATCTATTTTTAAAGTTGGAGTTGTAGTTTTGGATATAAGACAATTGTTGAGCACGTAGTCTGGATAAACTATTTGTGGTGCAATGAAATGAACACTTTTTTATATACATAGATATCGGAGAAACCTACTTGTACTTATTCGACTAGATTTGACCACACAAAACTCAAATCTAATATACTTGTATATCTCTGAGAGATTGCAATTAGGTTTGTGCACTCTGTCGTTCAGTGTAGCTTTACTTGGTATAAATTTAGGGATTCTTCAAGTCTGCATTTTTTATACATTGAAGTTACACTTTTGCATTCCTAAAAGTTAGTTTTCACTAATTCAACGGAATGTACATCTCAGGACGAGCGTTCCATTTACTAGTTAATTTATGACTTTTATGAAGCGATTGAGTTTTTGGCGGGCCAAAATTATATTTTTATAGCCTGTACCCAAAGGGTGAAAGGCTATACTAGTTTTGTGCGCATGTATGTAACACACAGAAGGAGACGTGGCAGACCGCACAAAGAATATATATACTTGATCAGGGTGACAAGCCAAGTCGATATAGACATGTCCGTCCGTCCGTCTGTCCGTCCGTCCGTCTGTATGAGCGCAAGCATCTCAGAAGGTACAAGAGCTAGAATAACCAAACTCGGTATCAAGATTCCCCTAAGCCCTAGGCAGGTCAAGTTTGTTTTTTTATTTTGATACACCCCCACTCCCCCGCAATTCGTGTTTTTTTTATAACTTCCGTAATTCTTGGAATTTTAAAATTAATTTTGGTAGTTACATCCAGCTAGTGCTTATGTGTCCGTGTTTCATCATGATAAGCCAATTCTGAAAAGTTGTAGCCATAAATAAAATCGCTGCTCATGCGCTGCCTGCAGCTCTGCCGGCAGCGCCGCCCGCAGCTGTTGTTGTTGCTGCTGCTTTGGTTCAACTTTGTGCTACAAACTTACACGCATATAAACACGCATAGGCACGTCATATAAATGTATGCTGTTAAAACTGAACATAAACATGTCTTCTAATTTAATTTAATTAATAAATTCATTTTTTTTAGTAATTTTTTTTTTTAATTTTTCCTTTTTTATACCCTGTACCCGTAGGGTAAAAAGGGTATATTAGGTTTGTGCAAAGTATGTAACATACAGAAGGAAGCATCTCCGACCCCATAAAGTATATATATTCTTGATCAGCATGACGAGAGAAATCGATCTAGACATGTCCGTCCGTCTGTCCGTCCGTCTGCCCGTCCGTCTGTCCGTCTGGATGAACGCAAGGATCTCAGAAACTATAAAAGCTAGAATAACCAAAGTTGGCATCCAGATTATCCTAGGTCCGAGTAAGGACGAGTTAATTTTTTTTTTTTAATTCAAACTCAAACTTTATTATGGATAGAAATAGAACGGACAAAATATATAAATATGTTTTATTATTGTTTTATATTTTTTATAATTAAATGGCGAGTATTTTAGGTTTATGAAAATGAAAACATAAATGGTGGAAAATGAAAACATAAATGGTGGAAAATGAAAACTTGTTTGGGTCGATGGTATTCATTGTCGGGCCTTGTCGACTGTAGAGTTCTGTCTTGTATACACCCTTCTATCTAGCGTTTAGCAACAACTCTCCAAAAAGTAATACTAATTTGTACAGCTATAAATTGAAATAACTTGGAACTTCTTTTGCTTGAGCGAAATAAGTGGGTGGCACTAATTAGTTTCATTTCGGTTATTATTACTATGAATGATTATCAATTTTTGTCTTCGGTCTAAAGGTCTGAGCTCAAGTCTGTAGTGTCTACAACATTTAATTATATTTGTCCCTCAGTTTTCTTATATCTTTATATGTAATACCTAAAAAGTGGGTTATGTTTTCTTGAATTTGTAAA